TGGGGCAGGCCCGTCCTTCACTCTGCCGTCTCTTTCTGTTGGGCTTCTCCCAGTTCATGGTTTTTGTATGTTTTGTTTCTTTATCTTGCTTCCTGCTGCTCATGTGCCCCCACGCTGTCTCCCTGCAGGCTCTCAGTCCCACATAACTATATGAGGTTGAGTTGCTGTTTGTATAATTTTTTCTTAAGTTCCATCTTTATTATATTTTAGGGCCCAGGGATCATCCTGATATTGTTGATTCATTTATGCAACTCCTGGCACAGGTGTGTTTTAGTTTTATTCATTCACGTTCTGTTCTCTCTCTTTCTCTTTCTCTTATGTTGATATTCAATTTAAGCCTATTTTTAGCTTTCTGTTGACAAATTTTTTTTTTCTGTTCAGTTGAATAGAGTTTCTTCATCTGTTTCCGTGGAAGTTGACAGCCCAACACCCTCCTTTAGTGCCCCTTTACCTCAACTAGCTCAGGCCTCCTCAAAGACCAGGGAGAGGCCGGTCCCAAAGTCGGGGGTGGGGGGGGGCGAGATGGGCTGGCCTGGGGCACGTGGGAGGGGAGGGGTCGTGCCCAGCAGCCCCTGTGCAGCTGGAGCACCCGAGAAGTTCCAGGGTAGAACTGGCGTTGAAGGGCCTGGGGTTCATTGTCCCCGTGCTCCTGCCGGGAACTGCCTGCCTCAGTGCCTGCTCGTGAGAGGTAGGCTGGTGGGAGGAGCACACAGGGAAGGGCTGGAGGTGAATGTGCTTTGGGGGGCCCTGAGCTGGGCTGTTAGATAGGTTGTACCGCTGCTGGGAGGTGGGGTGATGGTGGCTCCAACATGAGACTCTGTCAGGGTGTGTATGTGTGTGTGTGTGTGTGTGTGTGTGTGTGTGTGTGTGACCTTACTTTGCCTGTCCTGAGTGTGTGTGTGTGTGTGTGTGTGTTTGTGTGACCTTACTTTGCCTGTCCTGAGAGTGTGTGTGTGTGTGTGTGTGTGTGTGTGTGTGTGACCTTACTTTGCCTGTCCTGAGTTTGGTTGGGGCTCACGTGGCTGCGGTTGGTGGTGTGTGTTCCATGTTGGTTGGGATCCAGTGGAGCTGAAGCTGATGCGTGTGGTATGGCGGTAAGCCGGAGACAGTGATGCACTGTGCGTGTGATGTGTCGGAGGGATGTGTGAGTCTGTGGGGGTCCAGATTAGAGCGCACAGGAGTAGACGCTGGTGTAAGTGTGTCTGTATCGGGGCGTGTGTATTTTGGAAGATATGTGTGTTGGGCTTTGGGACCATGTTAGTAGACGGGGGAGGTTTCTGTCTTATTAGGGGATCCATGGGTTGAGGGAAATGAGATGTTTCTTTGCTTAATCACTCCACAAATATTTCAGTGTGTGGTACATGCCTGGTACTCCGCCAGGGGCCGGGGATATGATGTTGAGCAAAAGCTGGCAGAGTTCTTACCTCCGGGAGCGTGTGGTAGAAGGGAACAGGGTGCAGGAGGTGTGTGGGGGTGTGTGGGGGTGAGTAGGGCGCGTGTTCTTTGCCAGGAAGAATGTGCGTATGGGTGTGTGTGAGAGTATCTGGGGGTGAGGGCGTTTGCGTGTTTATTTGTGGATGGGCATGTTGGGAGAGCACTCGTGCAGGAGCACTGGGCAGGTTGAGGGTGTGGGACTGTGGCCACGGTTTGGGGATGCCAGGGGGCTGTGAGCGTGTAATAAAGGTGTACTGGAAATATGAGGGAGTCCGAGTGTAAGGAGCGTGACAGGGATGTTTGAGGGTGAGCGTGGGGGTGTTTGCACACGCGAGGTTGTGCGGGATGGAAGGTGAGGGGCTGGAGGTGAGGGGCTGGAAGGTCAGGCCTATGTGGCATGTGTTTGGGGGGCAGCTGGGGAGCAGCAGTGTTGGATAACTGCTGTTGCTGTGCAAAGCATCTCCTGTGACCTGAGGATTTGCCAGTCATGTCCTGGTACCACTTGGGTGGGTCGTTTGCCCCTGAACCCCACCTGGCCCCCCTGTGGTAGCACTGAGAAGGGCCTGGAATCTTGGGTGGCAGGTGAGGCCGTGGCCGACAGCTCCTGCCCTGCTTTTCCTCTTCCTCAGCCGGAGGGTGTCTGGAAAACACAGGTGGTCTGTGCAGGGGGGCTGTCGCACTGGGCTCCCTGTCCCCCCGTCCTCTCCCTGCTACCCCGTTCACAAGTCCAGGGGTCTCAGTTGCCTCTGGGAATCAAAGCGACGTCACTGCCGGCTGCCTGGAGCCTGCAGGAGGTCTGACCCCGATGAAGGGGAGGGGGACGGTGTTTGCCTAGGGGTGCCCCAAGCTTTGTGCACAACGAAGCCCCAGCCTCTCAAGTACACATGTCATTCACGTACACATGTATGTGGACCTGAGAGCCCTCGGCTGCTCCTCGGCTGCTCTCCTGATCTACCGAACCCCGAGGGCTCTGGGACCCCGGAGGTGACTTTAGCAGCCTTTCCTTGTGGTGTGAGGCTGGGGCCTGGGGTGGCAGGTGAGTGGGGGGATGGTTTTTGGAGTTAGCTGGGGCTGGGCTTACCAGCGCCACCTCCTGCAGGCTCTGAAGCGGAAGCCAGATTTGTTCCTGTGTGAACGCTTAGATGTCAAAGCGGTGTTCCAGTGTGGTAAGTGGGGTCAGACGGGCAGGTGGGCCTGGGATCCTCCCCACACACACACACGTCCACACACACACACACACACACACCAAGGAGGAGCTTCAGGCCTCGTCTGATTGGCTTCTGCCTTTCCCACAGGTGTGCTGGCCCTCAAGTTCCCCGAGGCACCTACTGTCAAGGCTTCCTGTGGCTTCTTCGTGAGTTCCACCACCCTGACCCCTGCCCAGGACTCTTGGGGGGTGCGGTGGGGCAACGGGTCTTGCCTCCAGGGCACCCGGGGAAGCTCCGGGGGCTGACAGGCCTCTCCGTCCCCTGCAGACAGAGCTGCTGCCGCGGTGTGGGGAAGTAGAGCCCGTGGGGAAGGTGGTGCAGGAGGACGGCCGTATGCTGCTCATAGCAGTGCTGGAGGTGAGATGAGCAGGGGCAGGGGTGGGAGCGGGCACCTTCCCCGCGGTGGCAGCCGCCCGCCCTTCGGAGGAGCCCGAGCCGGTGGATCCCGAGTTCTCGCATGGCGCCTTCCTCCATCAACTGGCCGAGAGCTGTTAGGGCCGCGTGCAAGATCAGCGGGCCCTCACAGAGCAGTGCCCAAACGCCTGTGTGCCGGGGGCTAAGGAGCGTCAGGAAGGGGTGCAGCGTGAACCCCCTGCGGAAGGGCTGACGTGAGCCCCGGTGTGCTGAGCCCCTGTCTCCACCAGGCCATCGGGGGCCAGGCCTCTCGCAGCCTCATGGACTGCTTTGCTGACATCCTCTTTGCCCTGAACAAACACTGCTTCAGCCTCCTGAGCATGTGGATCAAGGAGGCCCTGCAGCCGCCCGGCTTCCCCTCCGCCCGCCTCAGCCCTGAGCAGAAGGACACCTTCAGCCAGCAGATCCTCCGGTGAGCCTGGCTGGCCGGCTGGCAGGCTCAGGCGGGAGGACGAGGAGAGGGGCAGGGCGGAGGGGAGGAGGGCAGCGGGCGCCGGCTGCTAACCCGCTCGCTCTCCCTTCCCTCCTCCTCCAGTGAGCGAGTAAACAAGAGGCGGGTGAAGGAGATGGTGAAGGAGTTCACGTTGCTGTGCCGGGGGCTCCACGGCACAGACTACACAGCTGACTACTGAGGGGCACCCCTGTCCCACTCGTGCTTCCTCCTCACCCCTTCCTGTCCCCCCACCCCGACAATAAACCAACCCTCACTGCGCCGCTGTCTGCTGCTTTTCCGCCGGAAGGGTAGGGGAAGGAGGGGAAGCCGCTTGGACGCAGGCCTTGGAGGTGGAGGCAGGTCCTCACTCCCCGGATGGAAGGGGCACTGCTGTAGTCACCCTGTCCAGGCACCACTGTGGGATGCCCTGTGGGGTGGGGCCGGAGTGCCCCGGTGACCACGGCCCCTTGCCCCGCCCACCTGCATGCATGAACTTCGGGCCTAGCCTTGAGGCTGTCTTGCCTGGTTCTGCCAGAACCTGAGCCTCCAGCCCATAGCTCTCATGCTAAGCAGGGAGAATGGGGCCAGGGAGTGGAAGGCGCGTGGGGAAGTGTCCATTCTAATGGGAATGAATGGGAGTGACCGGCCCCGCGCGGTCAGGACCAGGGACAGCTCCTCCCGGTTGCTCCAAGCCAATTCCCTTTCCCTTCACTGGGATAGCAGTCTCCCAGGCACCCCAACCGTCAGCTGCGTAGCATCTGCTGCAGACCCGGGAGCCTTAAGTCTGCCTGGAACTCATGGCCCCAGTTACCAGAGATGCTAGTCTCCCCCCACCCCCATTTTCCCTCCCTTTGCATAACGGGGTTCCCCATAATTCATCCTCATTTCAGCCTCTTCTCACCCGAGTTCCGGGTTTGCCTCCCTGCCCCGACTTCCAGGAGGTCGATGTGCCCTGCAAAGGCCCAGTCTGTGAAATCTTTTGTCCCGTTTTACTCGGTAACCCCTTGGGGAACGCTACTGTTACCAGCACCCAGTCTGGAGACGCGGGAAAAGAAGGTCGCAGGGGCTTAGTTCCTTAGGGAACGTGTTGAGCAAGGACGCCGAGGTTGCTCAACACCTTTGGGCACCTGCTTGAAAAAGTATTCAGCGACGCTTCCGCAATGGGAGAGTGCACCGAATGCTCAGCGGTGTGCAGCAGGAAGCAGCCGCTTCAACCGCGGCGACTCGGTGTCCGAGGTCGGAATCGAGGGCCTGCGGGACTACAACCCCCAGGAGGCTTTGCGCCCGCCCCGCGCTCTTCCCGTCGGGCTCAGGCTCGGGCCGCCCATTGGTTCTCTGTGAGAGACTAGCTGTGATTGGAGGGCGGAGACTGCGCTGGTTGAGGATTGGCCAGACTTCTCCCAAGCCCCGCCTTATGCTCCCGGAAGTAGCCTCCGCCGTGGCCCCACGTGTGCTGAAAGCGCTCGTTTAGTAGTAGTGCGTGGTGCCCTGTTGTAGTCTCTCGCCTGGCGTCAGCTCCCGCGTCCCGGTCGGGTCCCGGATCCTCCGGGGACTGCTTGGGAGGACCCAGGGGTGCGGCTGGCCCTGCTTCCCCCCAAGCCGTGCTCATGGAGTCCACCTTCAGCAGCCCCGCGGAGGCGGCGCTGCAGCGGGAGGCGGGCGCCGGGGGGCCGCGCACCCCTCGGGAGGACCTGGGCCGCGTGTACGAGCTGGAGCGCATCGCGGGATTTGTCCGCGGCCTGGGGTGCCAGCGGGTGAGGGCAGGTGCGGGAGGGCGGGCGCCCTGGCACGGGTCGCCCGGAGGAGGATCCGGAGCCTGGGAGAATGGTGCGAGGATGCGGGTGGGGGCGGAGCGCACCTGACTCCGGACTCCTCGCTTGCAGGTGGCCCTGCAGTTCCCTGATCAGCTACTGGGAGATGCTGGGGCCGTCGCCGCCCGACTGGAGGAGATCACGGGCTCCAAGATGTTTGTCCTGGGGGACACGGCCTATGGCAGGTGTGAACTCGAGCTGGAAAGTGAGGTCGTCTTGGGAAGCGGGTGCCAGCGGCGTTCCCCCTCTGCGACCCGCTTGGCCCCCAGAGCTGTTTCTCCCTCGTGGTGACTCCTCCCCTGATCACTAGCATCCCCCTCCGTGACAGCGTGTCTTTTCTGACCGTATTTGCCGTGGGTAACAGCGGCTTTTCCCAGGAGCCCTCCTCTCACTAATGGTGTCTCTCCTGCAGCTGCTGCGTGGATGTTCTGGGCGCCGAGCAAGCCGGAGCACAGGCCTTGGTCCATTTTGGTCCTGCCTGCTTGAGCCCTCCAGCGCGGCCACTCCCAGTGGCCTTTGTTCTTGGTCAGCGATCTGTGGCCCTGGAGCTCTGTGCTCAGGCCTTTAAGGCCCTGCACCCTGAGTGCAGTGCCCCCGTCGTGCTGCTGAGTGAGCCGGCCTGCGCCCATGCCCTGGGTGAGGTTTGGTGGGGTACTGGGAAGGGCGGGCAGCTACTGTGTACCTCCTTTCCCTATGACCTTTTTTACAGGCTTGACCCTGGCCTTTATTTAGGAGCTGTATTTTTGGAGGCTCCAACCCTGACACCATCCCTTTTTCCTCCAGAGCCCTTGGCCGCTCTCCTGCGCCCTCAGTACCCAGACCTGCTTGTCTCCAGCCCGGCCCTTCCCCTGCCAAAGGACTCCCCCCAGGCAGAGTCTCCACCTATGGAGTGTTTGGGGCGCCGCTTCCCCCTGGCCCCAGGACGCCGTCTGGAAGAGTATGGCGCCTTCTACGTGGGAGGCTCCGAGGCCGGCTCCAGCCCTGACCTGGACCCAGACTTGAGCCGGCTGCTATTGGCCTGGGCCCCGGGACGGCCCTTCTTCTCTTGCTGTCCAGAGACTGGCCGGACTCAGGACGAAAGTGCCCGTGCTGGGCGGCTCAAGGCGCGTCGCCTCTATCTGGTGGAGAGAGCCCGCGACGCCCGTGTGGTGGGGCTGTTGGCGGGCACGATGGGTGTGGCCCGGCACCAGGAGGCCCTGGCACACTTACGGACCCTCACTCAGGCTGCCGGCAAGCGGAGCTACGTGCTGGCCCTCGGGCGGCCCACTCCTGCCAAACTGGCCAACTTCCCGGAGGTGGATGTCTTCGTGCTGCTGGCCTGTCCTCTGGGGGCCCTAGCCCCCCAACCTTCTGGTGGCTTCTTCCGGCCTGTTCTGACGCCGTGTGAGCTGGAAGCAGCCTGCAACCCTGCCTGGCCCCCACCCGGCCTGGCTCCGCACCTCACCCATTATGCAGACTTGCTGCCTGGTAAGTGGCGGCCCAGCCGAGCGGCACACACTGGCAGCAGAGTCCCGGGGCCAGTTTGGATCCTCTCTCTCCTTCCCAGGCTCCCCCTTCCACGTGCCCCTCCCACCCCCCGACTCGGAGCTGTGGGACAGCCCAGATGTGTCACTCATCACTGGGGAGCTGCGACCCCCCTCCTCGTGGAAGCCATCGAATGAGCCCGGAGGCTCGGCCCTGACCCCACGGCCGCAGCTGGAGCTGATGGAGAGCAGCCCTGCAGGTAAGTGCATCCAGCACCACTCCCGGCCTTTTGACTCTAACCTGGGTTGGGCCCAGAAAGTCTCACCCCCCTCCCTCTGCAGCCTCCTTCCTTAGCGCCCGGAGCTGGCAGGGCCTGCAGCCCCGCCTGGGCCAGACACCGGTGACAGGAGCTGTGAGCGGAAGACGGGGGATTGCCATCGCTTACGAGGATGAGGGGAGCAGCGGATAGTGGGGGACCAGAGCTGCGCATGGACGTAGTCCGAGCCGACACCTGCTCTCTTCCCCCAACCCCTAAGCATTCTGCTCCTCAAAGCGCCTGGGCAGAGCAGGGCACCATCCGAGCACACGGCATAGCACAGACTGGCTTACTAAGTGCCTGTGGGTGGGCTGCTGTGGCCTAACTTAGGACTTTTCCGAAAGCCTGTTGGGCCCGTTGGGCCTCCTGGGAGCAGCCACAACGTCTACTGATTGCAGTTCCTGTGCAGTGAGTCTGTACTATGTGCACTTGGGGGTCTCAGCCCAGGGCCAGCCCACACCGCTGAAGCCAGCTTGTTTTTGGTTTTGCCGGCTGCCCTGGGCACGCAGGAAGGACACCTGGCATCATCTCTGGTTCTTGCAGAGCGGATGCTAGGAGTGTGGCCCTCCCCAGTTGTGAAAACTGAAATTGTCTCTGGATATTGACAGATGTCCTGTGGGGGCAGAACAGCCCCCAGTTGAGGACCAGAGAGTTTGGCTCGTGCTGCCCAGTGCCGCTCTGTCGCAGCGCTTAACGGAAACAGGAGTCAGGTGGGAATGTCTGTTTCTCAGTCACATTGGTCGTGGCCCTCGAGGGTACACTGGTAGTGGCCCCGGAGAGTACAGTGTAGTTCTGAGCTTCTCCCCAACTCCTCCTGGGACGCTGCGGCTCTGCACCAACCCTGAGCTGTGTCCTCAGGGAGACGTCACAGAAACTTGAATAAACCAGATACTTTCCTCCTTCGGATTCTTTTCATTCATCAAACCCTGCAGAATGCTTCTTGCCTGGGTCCTGTGGTTGGAGATTTAAATTGAATTCTCGTCCTCACGGTGTCGCAGGGGAGAGGGGGTGTTTTGTAGGTAATTAGCACACCCTTCTCTGATGGATCTGGTGGAAGCTTGTGGCGGGGGGTGGGGAAGTGTTTGTACCTTAAGCTGGCGCTCTTGGAGGAAAGACTAATAGGAGAAAAGGGTATTTGGCACAGGAGAGAGGATGGAGGCACTGGGGGATCTCAGATATGAGCAGGAACTCATGTTCTTTTGCCATTTCACATCCGCTGTCATTTTAATGTACCTTAAAATCCTGCTTTGCAAAGTATTTTTCTCCTTTTCATCAGGGGAAGTAGAGTTGAGCCACAGCTAGTGGTGTTCAGGGAGGTGTTGTTGACACACAACCCCCCCCCCCCCCCCACAGACGTTGCTCCAGGTGGTGCTCAGGTACCAGGGATCATAAGAGGATTGATTCTACACAAAACAAGCACCTTAACTTTTGTACTCTCTCTGAAAGGTGTTTTCTTTTACTGTAAATACCACCTAGAATTTTATTTAAGTTTTGGTTTGGTTTATTTAAGCTTTTGGTTTGGTTTGGTTTTTGAAATTTTTGTTTCGGTTTGGTTTTTTGGTCACACCCAGCATTGCTCAGGGCTCTGCACTCTTGGTGGACTTGGGGGCCCATCTGGGTTGCTGGGTATTGAACCTAAGTCTGCTGGGTGCAAGGCAGGTATCCTACTCGGGATACTCTCTCTCTGCAGCCCCTACAGATAAGTCCTGCACATCTGTGTGTATGAAGCACTGGAAATGCAGCAGTGACTTCCCCCCAAAAAGTTTGGGGGTGGGTGGAGTGTTAGGACACACCTGACTGTGTACTCAGTAGTCACTTCCAGCAGTGTTCTGGGATTAATGATTCGGTTCCAGGGATTGAACCAGGATCGGCGGCGTGAAGGCAAGCACCTTATGTCCTAATGTTCTACAACTTCTTTCTGGGTCTCAACAGAAACCTTTTCTTTTTTTTCCTGTGGTGGTGGTTGGTGGGGGCGGTGGGGTCATGGTGGACAATATCCTGTAGTGCTCAGTGGTTACTCCTGGCTTTGTCCTCAGGGATCACTTCTGGCAGTGATCACACATGCAGTACTGAGGAGTAAGTCAGGGTTGGCTGCATGCAGCCTTACGCCTTATACGTCTCCCTAGTCCCTCAACAGAAATCTTTTTGGTGTTTACATTGGGTGGGGGGTGGACAAGCAGAATACTTGGCCAGAACGTCGTTGGGGAAGGGAATAAGGAAGAGGGATTGGCAACATTAAACATCACGACCAAGGAAGGTTTTGTTTTTTTTTTTTTTTTTTTGCTTTTTGGGTCATACCCGGCAATGCACAGGGGTCACTCCTGGCTCACGCACCCAGGAATTACTCCTGGCAGTGCTCGGGGGAACCATATGGGATGCTGGGAACCGCATCTATTGTGTGCAAAGCAAACGCCCTACTCCCTGTGCTATCGCTTCAGCCCCCAAGGAAGGTTTTTGAAGGTCAGTAAAGATGAGATGACAAAAAGTTATACAAAAAGCAAAAAAAAAAAAAAAAAAAAGATGGGGCCAGAGCAATAGCATAGCGGGTAGGGCGTTTGCCTTGCATGCAGCCGACCTGGGTTCAATCCCTCGCAACCCAACCCATATGGTCCCCCAAGCACCACCACCAGGAGTAATTCTTGAGTGCAGAGCCAGGAATAACCCCTGAGCATTGCTGGGTGTGACCCAAAAAAAAAGTTATAGAGTGAGGGACTGTAGCTATAGTACATCGGGTAGAGCATTTGCCTTGCACATGGCCGACCCAGGTTCGATTCCCAGCATCCCATATGGTCCCTGAGCACCTCCAGGAGTAATTCCTGAGTGCAAAGCCAGGAGTAACCCCTGTGCATCACCAGGTGTGACCCAAAAAGCCAATAAATAGATAATTTTTTTAAAAAAAAAAAGAAGTTCTTGGGGCTGGAGAGATAGCACGGCGGGTAAGGCGTTTGCCTTGCACGCGGCCGACTCGGGTTCGATTCCCAGCATCCCATATGGTCCCCTGAGCACCGCCAAGAGTAATTCCTGAGTGTAGAGCCAGGAGTCACCCCTGAGCATTGCCGGGTGTGACCCAAAAAAGCAAAAAATAAATAAATAATAAAAAAATAAAGAAGTTCTAGAGTAAGCCAACTGGATAGAAGTATGAGCAGTAGGATGTGGACTAGAATGTTCAAGAAAGAGCAGGGAGAGCCAGGAAGAGAATTCAAAGGACTGCAGGCATGTTTAGCATGTGGAGGCCCAGGGTATAATCCTAGCAGCCATTGTGCCAAACTCCACTAGGAGAGACTCCCATTGCTAGGGAGAACCAGGAGAGATGGCCCCTCTATCGCTTGTATTATATAGGTCAATTATAGATTATAGCGTGACCTTCCCCATCTCCCGCCCGCCCTCCTCCATAAGGGAAGCAGCACTGAAGCCAGTGAAGAGAGTGGAGGAATGTTAAAAAGCAAATTCAGGTAAGGGTTGAGGAGCCACATTGGTGGAGGCTTAGTGGGGCATTGAAAGTATACTTTGGGGACCAGAGTGATCGCACAGCAGGTAGAGCTCTTGCCTTGCACGCAGCCAACCCAGGTTTGACCCTCCACATTCCATAGGGTGCCCCGAGCCCGTCAGGAGAAAACCCCTGAGCGCTTTTGGGTGTGACCCAGAAACAAGAGTATACTTGGGGAGCTGGAGAGATAAGAGGTAGGGGACTTGGCTTGCATACAGCCAACCCGGGTTCCATCCCCAACACTCCACATGGTCCTCTGAGCACCACCAGGACTGATCCCTGGGCACAGTCATCAAGGATGTGTCAGGCCCTGAGTTACACCCCCAGTACCACCTGACCCCCACCTACCTCACCTGGTGCGGCCCTGCTGTCCCCCAAGCTGCTGGCTGGTGTGGGTGGAACTGTGTAGGATGTGGTGGGGAACCAGGTGTCGCTCCTTCAACAAAAAGTATGTTAGCTCCCCAACTCACTACACACACACACACACACACACACACACTTATTTAAAGGGGAAGGGCATGATCTATCATCAGGACATCACTGGGGCACCAGAGCGAGCGCAGCGCCCTGCCTCTGAGTTAGGGTTTTCTGGCAAAAGGAGCTCTAGAGGTCTGAGGGGTCAGCTGGGCAGCGGGGTGAGCAGGAACAAGGATGCTGCAGCAGGCAGAGGACCCCGATGCGGAGAGCAGGACCCCCCGCGGCAGGGTCGGCCTGCAACGCAGCGGGCGGCGGGACCTGCGTGGGAGCAGCTGGGCAAAGCTCGTGGGCAAAGCCCGGGAGCAGGGGGGCGGAGGGAGGGCGCGGCCGCCCCGAGGCGGCCCCTTCCGCCGCCGGGACTCCAGCGACCACAATCCCCGGCGCGCGCCGCTCCGGCGACGCCCGGGGTCACGTGGGGGCGGCGCGTCACGTGGGCGCGTCAGGTGACGCTGCGGGGCGGGCGGCCGGGCTGCGGGCGGACGGCGGACGCAGGGACGCGGTTTTCTGGCCCCGCGATCCGACCCCGGCCGTCGTCGTCGCGCCGCCATGACGGGGCTGGCGCTGCTCTACTCGGGGGTCTTCGTGGCCTTCTGGGCCTGCGTGGCGGTTGTGGGTGAGGCCGGGCGCTGGCGGGCGGGCGGGGCCGGAGCGAGCCCGGCGGGGGCCCCGGGGTGCCGGAGCCCCGGCGCGGGCTCTGCGGCTCGTGCTCCCGGGCCGCGCCCCTGCCGGAGCCCCGGGGTCTGCCGCCGCGCGGGGAGGGGCGCGGCGGGGCCCGGGCGCTGCCTGCCACCCCCGCCGCCCCTCCCCCGGCCCCCGGCCCCCGGCCGTCCGCCCTCTCCCGGGGCTGACCGGCCCACTCGGATCCCGAGCCGAGCCGGCGGCTGCTCCGGTTCCGCTTTTCCTGCCGGCCGCTGCCCCCCACCCCCACCCCCACCCCCACCCCGGCCTCCCCCGGCTTGTTGGGTCAACAGCGGCGCCCACTGGGCCGGCGGGATCTGGTGGGATCTGGCGCGGCCTGGCCGAGCCCTTGCGCCCTCCTTGCCCCGGGGGACTCAGGCCCCTGCCGGCTGCCCGAGGCGGGTCTGGGTCTGGGTCTGGGTCTGGCCGGGGCTGTCAGCGAGGGAGGGGCCCTGGGATGGGAGTGACGGAACATGGAGGCGGCCTGCTGTGCTTTCCACCTGGAGGCCTGCCTGGAGACTCGCCCTTGAACTTGGTTGTGCGTAGGCAGAGCTCGGGCCGCCGCAGCTTCGTGACCGAGCCTGGCAGCTCTGCTCGAGGGAAGGGCCCCTCGTGCCCCAACCCCCTCACCGCCCCCTTTTTCTCTTCCTGCTGCAGGGATCTGCTACACCATTTTTGACCTGGGCTTCCGCTTCGATGTGGCATGGTAAGGGTCTTTGGGAGTTAGGAAGTCTCGGCCCAGTGCTCGGGGCTGGGCGGGGGTGGTTGGGGGGGTGGGGTGGGGTGGGGAAAGAGCCCAGAGGGCTGGAGCGCTCGCTTTGCCTGCCTGCACAGGCCCCAGTCCCATCCCCCAGCGTGCCCGGTTCAGTTTCCTGAGCACTGCCCCAGTGGGGTCTCCCGGGGTGGGGGGTGTGGGGCTCTGAAACGTCCGAAGTGGGCACTCCCGAGCACTGCTTGGGAGAGGGGTGGGTTGGGAAGGCGGGTGGGTCGTGTGTCCCACCGGCGTTGAATTGCCCTCCTCCCTGTCTCCGACCCAGGTTCCTGACCGAAACTTCCCCCTTCATGTGGTCGAACTTGGGCATTGGCCTTGCCATCTCCCTGTCGGTGGTGGGGGCAGCGTGGTGAGTCTGTGGAGCGTGGTGCCAGGGGGAGGAGTTGAGTCACGGCAGGAGGTGTCACCGGGTTCTTAATCATGCCGGTGGCAAACTTGGGCCCTGTCATTCCATATCTTACCCTTCCCCAGGGGCATCTATATTACCGGCTCCTCCATCATTGGGGGAGGGGTGAAGGCCCCCAGGATCAAGACCAAGAACCTGGTCAGGTGAGTGAGGGCTGTGGGAGGTCGTGAGGAAAACGCTGCATCTGTGTCTGGCCTGCTTGGGACTTGCCACCTGATGGGCCAGGGTACCGTGGCACAAAGTTGGTCTGGGGACTCCGGAGCAGAAGGTCGGTTTCTCATTTATCTTCCTTCTCTACCCCCCACGGTCCACCACCTCCAGCATCATCTTCTGTGAGGCTGTGGCCATCTACGGCATCATCATGGCAATCGTCATTAGCAATATGGCGGAGGTATGGAGGACCAGGTTGGGGCGGGCAGAAGTTTTATAGTGTGTCGAATGTGTTGCCTATTGATGGGGATAGAGGACGGGCACAAGGCATAGGGGGTGGCTTCTGATCCTTTTCTGCTTCCCATAGCCTTTCAGTGCCACCGAACCCCATGCCATTGGCCATCGGAACTACCACGCAGGTAAGCGAGTGTGAAGACCAAGAGCTGAACTGAGTCTTCTCACCTGTTCCCCCTTGCCCAGTCGTTATCCTCCTCGTTTTGGACTTTCTCATCTACTCGTGCCAGCTTGGGAGCACTGGGGTGGCGATTGCCCCCCCTGCTCCACGCGGGGCCCTCCACTGCCCCTCCCCGTGCCCTACCTTGGCGTGACTGCTCCCTTTCCGTCCCGCAGGCTACTCCATGTTTGGGGCTGGCCTCACGGTGGGCCTGTCTAACCTCTTCTGTGGAGTCTGTGTGGGCATCGTGGGCAGTGGAGCCGCACTGGCCGATGCGCAGAACCCAAGCCTCTTTGTCAAGATTCTCATCGTGGAGATTTTTGGCAGTGCCATTGGCCTGTTCGGTGTCATCGTGGCAATCCTTCAGGTGCGGAGCCTCCCTGGGGAGCTTCTGAGTTCGGGTCCCCGTCCAGCACCACCCCCTCCCTCACGTCACCCAGAAGTCCGCAGTAGCTTCCAACCTCATTCCCTCTTCTGGTTATCCCTTTTTCGAGGCTTTATTTTTGTCTGCAATCTGGTATCACCGACAACCGTTCTATTTTCCTCTTTGTTGCTTTACGTCTCCCTCTGTCTCTTCCATGAAGTCTCTCTGTGCCGGTGCGGTCTCTTCGTCTCTTTGTCGCCTAGGCTGGGTGGGGAGCCTGTCTGCCTTTAGCCCTCTGTGTTGGTGTGTCTGGCTGACATGCGTGAGTCCCATGGATTTGCTGAGGGTTTAAGAGACTGTGGGTGCCTGGCCGAGTTGTCCTGGGTCCTGGCACTCTCCCTGTGCCAACTTCTTTCCATTTGTCTGTCCCACAGCCTTACTCTGTGGCTGTCCACCAGCCCCCCGTTGATGTCTGTCACATATCCATCCGGGTCCAGTGCCCTCTCTGGTCTCTTGGGTGACCGTCCTTCCTCCTGCTGCGGGTTTGGAAGTCTAATCTTCCAGAATTCCTTCGTGACTTAAGGATTCCTTTCTCCCTGCCTGATTTCTCCTGTTTCTCTTTTACAGACTTCCCGAGTGAAGATGGGTGACTAGATCGTCTGTATGGGTGTGGCCGTGCCCCCCTCTTTATTTATTTGTGGTTTTCCTGGGGTAGCTGGCGTTGTGCCCCTTAGCCTTTCTGGAGGCTTGGTGTTCAGGAGCCATCCCTGCACTCTTGCCGCCTGTCGACTTGGTGGCACTGCCTGGCTGGATCCTTATTGTGGGGAGTGGGTCACTGATGACTGGGCGCAGCCATGCCCCAGGTCCCACCCCATCCTGTCTTCCCAGTGTTTGTGAAATAAACATGGTATTTGTCTGGATCGTGCCCCTTCTGTTGCCTTTCTTGCCCTCCATTCACAGAGCCCCAGATAGGCTTGTGGACCTCGACTTCATGCCAATCTCTCATGGACTTTCTGTCTGGTAGCTCTGTCCGTGCTCTGAACAGAGCCGGCTCTAGGGTGGGGAGGGAGGTCCTGAGTCTGTTGGTAGCAACAAGGGAGTCTGGAGCTGTGGACCCCGTTGCTGGGAAGTCCTTGCCCGTGTGCTCATGAGTCCCAGTTAGCCCCATCGGCACACTTGGCCCAACCCCTAGGCAGCGTCCACTCACCCACACTGTGCCCATCTGGGTTTTATGCCCATCTGGGTTTTAAGTCCCTTCACTTCCACCCATCCCGTGGCTCGACTCTCCCCTCAGCGTCTTCCTGGTTCCCAGACCCACTCACCCTGACCCCTACCCCACTCCTGTCCAGCGTCTGGAGACCCCCAACCCCAGCCACCTCAGGACCCTGCCCCTCACATTCCTCCCTATGCTTTTTGTAAGTGTCCGCGCCCCCGAGCGGGTTGCTGCCTTTAGTGATGCTGCAGTGAATGGGCTGATCAATTCCAGGTCAGCCCATCTTCCAGGCCCCTTCCCTGGTTGGGTTTCGGCACACCCCAGCCCGGGCTCCTCCGCCGGACCCATCCGCGCCCTCTCGAATACGCCCCGAATCCGGCTCCGGGTGCAACCCGACCCACCCGGCCGCTCGCTTCCGCCCCTTTCTGGTCCTGTGCCTCCGGCCGGAGCGCGCGGCGGCGGCGGCGCGCGGCGGGTGCGGGCGCGCTGGAGGCGGGGGCCGCGGGTGCGCGCTCGCGGGTGCGCGGGCCGGGCCTGCCCCTCCGAGGCGCCGTAGCGCGGGAGGGAGACGGCCGCGCCGGTCCGTCGGTCCGCGGGTCCGTGGGTCTGCCCGGCCGCCCGGCCCCGCCCTGCCCCCCGGGGCGGCTCGGCTCCATGGCCGGCGCGAACGGCGGGAGGCGGCCCGGGGGCCGCGGGGACCGCTGACCGGGCGGCGGGAGGCGGCGGGGCGGGCCATGGGGGACGGAGCCGTCCGCAGCCGCCGGAGCCCGGAACCCGGCCGGAACCGGAGCGGCGCCTCCTGCTGAGCCCCGAGAGCTGGGTGAGACGGGGGGCGCGCGCGGCCCCCGGCCCTGGGCCCTGGGATCCCCCACCCGCGCCCGCGACGAGCTCCCGGGCGCGGCCCCTGCCACCCGCCCAGGACCCGGTGAGCGGGGCGCGGGCCGGACCCCCGCCTGCCAGCGCCCCTCCCCTCCCCCACCGCGCGCTCCCCCCACCGGGCTCCTCCGCCCGCCCCCGGCCAGCCTCCCTCATTGTCCTCGCTCGCCCCAGCCTCGTGGCGCGGCTCTGGCGCTCCCCTGCCGTTCCCCGGGGCTCGAGCCCCGGCCCCTCGTCCACACTCCCCCAATCCACGCCCCACCCCAAGTTCCACACCCACCGGCTCTTCGCAGCCTCCCCTGTCCGGGGGTGACACGTGTTAAGGCTTCCCGCCCCGCCCAAGCGCGCAGCCCCGCCTGGCCCCCGGCTGACCCAGAACCCCTGCACGTGGGCCGAGCCGTCCTGCGCCGCTCGGGAGCCTGTGGACGTGGCCACGCGAGTCCAGGAGCCCCGGCTTTGTGAGTGTGTGCTGGGTCCCTGTCCCGGGTGTCTGTGACTGGCCAGGCAGAGGGTGCTGGAGCAGTGTGCCGTGCCAGAAGCATCCCCAGGGAGAGGCCCGACTCTTTCCAGGGCCCAAGACTAGGAGGACCCCCTGGGGGAATCAGACCCTCAGGAAGTTCATGCGAGTCGTGGAGGTCTTACAGGAAGGCTGTCCCTTGCTCTACCCTATGTTTTGAATTTTTGCTCCAGAGGGAAGAGAGCCCCCAAACTTCTGGCCTGTATGTGGGCCCGCCAGATACTAAGCATCACTTGCCACCTGGTCCCAGGTGATGCTCCCTGGAGAACCACTTTGAAGGCCTGAGAGTAAGACACCCCCGCCCCCCTGCTGACCCCCCAGCCCCCTGCGTGGTAGGTATTCAGCAGTGGGTTCCCTTGGCAAACCCCACTGGAGAGCTCTGCCCTGCCTGGGCAGGTTTCCTTGGGGCCTGTTGGCAACATTGTTTCTTAGTTGAGGGGAAACAGTGTTACCAGGACTCCCGTTGCTCGGGGCCATAGAGGGTGTGGATGTGTGTGTTGCTTGTGGGCATAGAGGGTGTGAATGTGTGTGTTAGGCTCAGCAGTGAGCTGTGGCCCTTCTGTGAGGGCACCAGGCATGTGCGCGTGAGACTTGGGCTTGAATGCTCAGGTGTGTAAATAGAGTTGCTAGGGACTGTGCCTGGGTGCCTGTAGGGAAAGTGTGAGCCTCTGGGTGGGGTGGCGGGTGTTCCAGGGCAGACTGTTGTTGCGAGGATGTGAGTCTCTCTGCATTCAGGGGCTGGAGCTGGACAGCTCGCCGCCCTGACCCGCAGGCTCTTTTCTCTCTCCTCCTCGCCCAGACCGGCAGCCGGATGCCCGGGCCCAGGCGGGCCGGCGGCCGCCTGCGGGATGAGCAGACTGCTGGGGGGCACGCTGGAGCGCGTCTGCAAGGCGGTGCTGCTCCTCTGCCTGCTACACTTTGTGGTGGCCGTCATCCTCTACTTTGACGTCTACGCCCAGCACCTGGCCTTCTTCAGCCGGTTCAGCACCCGCAGCCCTGCCCGCGGCCTCCACCCAGCTGCCAGCAGCAGCACCAACTGCTCCCGGCCCAACGCCACTGCCCCCAGCTCCGGGCTCCCTGGGGCCCCCAGTGCCTGGCCGGGCCCCACGGTCCCCTCCCTGCCACCTTGTCCTGACTTGCCGCCTGGTCTTGGTGAGCCTTGCAGGCCTGGGCCTCCCTGGAGGGGAGGGGAGGGGAGGGGGGTAGAACTGGACAGCCTAACTAGGGTAGAGGGTCTAACCTCTTGGGGGGAGGGAGAGGTTTCGCCTATACCTGGAGATAACAGGGGGTCATACTGCTGCATCGGTGACGCCAGGGATGGAACCAGGGGGAGCCACGTGCCAAGCAAGGGTCCGCATCCCTGTACTCTCTCTCTAGCCTGCCCCTGGGCATGCCAGGTCTTACGAAAGGGTTGTGCCCTGGGCTCCCTTGCGCCCCCAGCCTGAAGGGTGCCAGCAAAGGCCTGATGCCCGCTGCTGTCCCCCGCAGTTGGCCGCCTGCTGATCGAGTTCACTTCCCCCATGCCGCTGGAGCGGGTGCAGAGAGAGAACCCGGGCGTGCTCCTGGGCGGCCGCTACTCACCCCCCGACTGCGCCCCAGCCCAGACGGTGGCGGTCATCATCCCCTTCCGACACCGGGAGCATCACCTCCGCTACTGGCTCCACTACCTGCACCCCATCCTGAGGCGCCAGCGGCTGCGCTACGGCATCTATGTCATTAACCAGGTGCGCTACTGTGGGCTGGAGGCCCTTGCCACCCAGGTGCTGCTCTGGGGTGGGACCGTCCTATTAGGTCCCCACCTGCTCTGGGCAGGGCATGCCCTGAAGGTGTAAATTTACAGAGGAGCATTCCCCTGGTGCTGTGTGAGCTTTGGAGGTTGGTCATGGGTCCTGTGCAGAGCCTCAAGGAGGGTCCCCATGAGGAAAGGAGAGAGGTCCAGGGGTGGAATCACCCTGAGGGCCATGGCTGGAAGCTCAGCCCTGCGTGTGAGTGCATACACGGAGGCTCCCCAGTACCCCCTCCTGTGGCTGTGACTGCCTTTGGAGAGACTGGGTGCTTTCTAGTCCCCGGGCCAGCTCTGGGGTTAGGAAGTGAAGGTAGACGTGGCATCTGAGCTGGAGCTACGCCAAGGCCCGGTCTGAGCTGGAGCTACGCCAGGGCCCGGTGAGGACAGGTGTGGTGTGTTCAGGAACCCTTGGCTGAGGTGTGAGCCCGGCACCCGGTGGGGTAGCAGAGATGAGGCTGGAGCGTTTAGTGAAGCCACATCTGGAGGGATCTTAGGCAGGTTTGAACCTGGAGGTGCAAATTCTGGCCTGAAATGGGGCTGAAGCCTTTATTGAAGTAGGGGTGGGACCTGTTTTGTGCCCAGGGTCATTCAGATCCGTATAATATTGCGCCATGCCGCACAGGCAGCCTACATAAGCAGGTATGTTGGCCTGTCACGGACCCCATGATTTTATGGCAGAACATACCTGGCCCTGTTGTTTTTTTTTTCTTTTCTGGGTCACACCCGGCGATGCACAGGGCTTACTACTGGCTCTGTGCTCAGGAATTACCCCTGGCGGTGCTCAGGGGACCATATGGGATGCTGGGAATCGAATCTGGGTTGGCCCCGTGCAAGGCAAACGCCCTGCCTGCTGTGCTATTGCTCCAACCCCTGACCCTGTTTTAAGGGGAGAGAAGGATGTAGGTTTACTTCCTTGTTTGTGTGAGGGGGTAGGGGGTCACACTCAGCTGTGCTCAGAGTTTACTCCTGTCAGTGCTCAGGGATCACTCCTGCATGTGCTCCCGGGACCATAGTGGGGAGGAGGCAAGGATGAAACTTGGGTCAGCTGCATGCAAGGCAGTCACCCTACGTGCTGTGCTGTTTCTCTGGTCCTGCAGAAGGGCACGAGAGGAAATCCCAGAAGCGGGGTGATCATTGGGGTTCAGGAAGAGTTGGTGAGGGTGCATTTGAGTTCAGCTGTCATGGGGTGTGGAGACATGTGGCAGGAATGGTGGAGAAGGGGAAGACCGCCTTGACAACTGGACGAGGAGTGATGGCGGGTAGTCTTGGGCCCTGGCAGTCTGGATCCCCATCTCTGAGTAAGGTGGGGACACAGGACCAGGGCTGGGAGCCCTCGAGTCTTTTTGGTTTTGTTTCTGGGCCACACCCAGTGGTGCTCAGAGGTTACTCCTGTCTCCGCATGCAGGAATCACTCCTAGAAGGCTCAGGGGACCATATGGGATGTCATGTCAGGGATTGAATTTGGGTCAGGTGTGCAAAGCAAACTCCCTTCCTACTGTACTAGCACTCAGGCTCGGGCCCTGGAGGTGGCTCCTAGAATTGACTGTCCTCACTGCCCAGGAATGCGGGGCACGGCACAAGAGGAGAAAGCTACACTGAGGGTTCTGTGGGGAGAGCTGGTGGGGACCCATCGAGGCTGGAGAGGCAGGAGGGGCTGGAAGCAGGATAGGCCCAGAGGCCCCGGAGGAAGCTCCTGGAAGGAACCACAGCAGCTGCACAGCACTGCCGGGGGTGGAAGGCAGGACATGGACTGAGGAGCGTCCAGTGGATTTAGCAACAAGGTGGGCCCAGTGAGAGCCATTTCAGGGGCAGGCCGGGGGCGGAAGCAGATTGCAGTGGGCTGGGAAAGGAATCAGATTTGTCAAAATGCAAATAGCCAATTGGAGACAACTCTTTAAAAAAAATAAAAAGAAGAAGAAGCAGAGAAGGGAAGACAAAAGGTAGGGCGGTGGCCATGGGAGGAGTTTCAGAAGAGAAAGAGGTGAGGGTGTTCTAGGGCCTTTGGGGGACAGTGGCGCTGGCTACAGGGGCAGGAGATGGGCATTGACTCTGCGAACAGGTGTGGGGGAAGGCGGGAAGGAAGGGAGCCAATGGGGGCCAGTGGGGGCTGGGGGCAGCTCGAAGGCAGAGTGGAGGGGCTCCTGTCCTCCCCTCCCACTCCAGGAACCTTCGCTCCAGCCCGGAGAGCTGGGGGAAGGGGCCCACATGCAGCTCCCATGGGCTCACCCTGGGTCTGCATCCTGGTCCTGGACCCGAGGCTGCAGGGGGGAGGGGGCCAGGCCCTGTGGCTTTTGGAGACACAGTCTGTGACCGCTCCGTTGGAGAGTGACTAGGACTTCTCATCTCCAGGGTCCCCACTGGCTCAAAGAGGACTCCAAGCAGGGACCTTGAGACAGGGGTGGAGGGATATGGACCCTTGGGTGGTGGCTGAGGAACAATAACAGTGTGGGCCAGGGACATTAGTACTATGCCAATATAGACGACTTTATTAAAGAAAGATTTTTTTGGGGATGGGGGGGGCTTTTGGACCACACTCAGTGGTGTTCAGGACTTACTCCTGGCTCTGTACTCAAGGATCATTCTTTTTTTTTTTCTTTTTGGGTCACACCCGGCGATGCACAGGGGTTACTCCTGGCTCTGCATTCAAGAGCTACCCCTGGCAGTGCTCAGGGGACCATATGGGATGCTGGGAATCAAACCCAGGTCGGCCGCGTGCAAGGCAAATGCCCTACCTGCTGTGCTATCTCTCCAGCCCCCAAGGATCACTCTTGAAGGGCTCAAGGGACCATGTAGGGTGCTGGGAATTTAGCCCAGGTTGGCCATATGCAATGCAAACACTCTCCCTGCTGTGCTACCACTCTGGCCCCACTTTATTTAAGATTTTAATTTTTAATGAGCAAATATATATCAGATGGGCCAGGGAGTGGCTCAGTGGCAGAGTGCATGAGTGCATGCCTTTGATGTGTGAGGCAGTGGGTTTGTTCCTTAGTGAACCCATACAACCAAAGAACTAGACATTTTTTCTTCCAGAAAAATGCAGATGTGACATGTCATACCACACATCACCTGTCACTTTGGAAGTGTTCCTTATCCCTGGAGCCCAGCTGATAACATGGAAACTAGGACATTTTCTGAAGTAAAAGACTTATTTTTTTGTTTGTTTGGTTTGGGGACATTATCTGGCTGTGCTCAGGAATCACTCCTGGCAAATTTGGATGACCATATGGGCTCCTGGAGATGGAACCTGGGTCAGCCATGTAAAATGCAAGTGCCCTGTCCGCTGTCCTGTCTCTCCTACCCAGAAGATAAAGACACTTTAGAAGTGTCCATATCATGTTCCTAAGAGCAATAGTTGTGGGGGCCAGAGCAATAGTACAGCAGGTAAAGCACTGGCCTTGCATGCCACTGACCTAGGCTTGATCCACAACATCCCATATGGTCCCTAAAGTTCCACCAGGAGTGATTTCTGAGTGTAGAGCCTGGAGTAACTCCTGGCCATTGTCAGACGCGCCCTTCTCAATTTTTTTTTTTTTAAAAGGAGCAACGGGCTGGAGCAATAGCACAGCAGGTAGGGCGTTTGCCTTGCACGCGGCTGACCCGGGTTTGATTCCCAGCATCCCATATGGTCTCCTGAGCACTACCAGGGGTAATTCCTGAGTGCATGAGCCCTGTGCAGGAGTAACCCCTGTGCATTGCCGGTGTGACCCAAAAAGCAAAAAATAAATAAAATAAAAACAAGCAACAGTTGTAGGATTTTCTTTTCTTCCATCCTCTTTTTTTTCCCCTCTGTAAACTGTCATCCTTGAGGAATTCCTCTTATATTATTTGCTAGCCTTGTGCGTAAGTAAACTATGAAGGGTCCAGAAAGATAGTCCAGTGGGTAGGGCGCTTGCCTTGCACACAGTCAACCCTGGCACTGCTTATGGTTCTCCAAGCTAGGAGTGATTCCTGAGTACAGATCCAGGAATGTGCTCTGACCATAGACAGGTGTGGCCCCATACCAGAAGAACAACAAAAAAATGAATGGATAAACTCTGAAGGGATCCAGGTTCAGGTTGCTGACAAACCCAGCTCCCCGCAAAGAAAGAGAACTGGCAAAGGAAAGGGCTGCTGGCATGGGTGCGGGAGGGTGGGAGAGGACGCCAAATGAGTGAGCAGCTCAGCCCTCATCTGGAGGAACACCGGCATCTGGAAGGAAAGAAGCACCTTGCTGTGGCAGCCATGGGACCTCGAGGCCTTGCAGACCCAGGTGTGACCCAGCCCAGGCAGGGCTCCTGCCAACCAGGGCCATGGCGAGAAGGGTCATGCATTGGAGGCCAGGCAGTCTGGAGAGGTTGCGTCCAGCTTAGGGGCTGCATTTGGCCCTGAGGGTGTTGGGGAGAGGCCTTGGACACTGCTCCGGGCAGTGGTCAGGGGAGCTAGGTATCTTCTGATTGCGGACCCCACCCTCAGCACGGTGAGGACACCTTCAACCGGGCCAAGCTGCTCAACGTGGGCTTCCTCGAGGCACTGAAGGAGGACGCGACCTACAACTGCTTCATCTTCAGTGACGTTGACCTGGTCCCCATGGACGACCGAAACCTCTACCGCTGCGGCGACCAGCCCCGCCACTTTGCCATCGCCATGGACAAGTTTGGCTTCAGGTGAGGGCTCCCTTTGCAGGGTGCCTGGGCCCTGCAACCCCCCCCCCACACCCAGGCCCTCACCCTCTGCCCTTCGTCCGGGGGTCCCCAGAAGACCCTGGCAGACGCCTGCCCTCCGTGCCCTAGGCTGCCCTATGCCGGCTACTTTGGAGGCGTGTCGGGCCTGAGTAAATCCCAGTTTCTGAGAATCAATGGCTTCCCCAACGAGTACTGGGGCTGGGGTGGTGAGGACGACGACATCTTCAACCGGTGAGTAGGGTGGCGGCGGGGAGGGGCCCGGGGGCGGCGGGGGCACAGGCAGGGTGGGCTCCTTGCCCCTCCTGCGACCTGCTGCTGCAGCCCATCTGTCCCCACCCTCAGGATCTCCCTGACTGGGATGAAGATCTCCCGCCCAGACATCCGCATCGGCCGCTACCGCATGATCAAGCACGACCGGGACAAGCATAACGAGCCCAACCCTCAGAGGTGACCCCCAGCAACCCCCATCCCCGAAGGCCCCTAATTGACCCCTGACTCCCTCCAGGAGACTTCCCAGGATCACTGGTCCTTGGAGGTGGTCGCCAGGCGTTGGGATAGGTCTCCGGGAACCCCAGCATCTCCCCGATTCGAGGGCAGCCCCATCCGAAGGCAAGACTCAGGTCACTCTTGAGTTGAGACCTTCCTGTTCATTTCCACAGGCCTCGCTGGTGCCAGGCCAGAGAGGACAGCTAGTGGGCACTAGGCTCAGCTCCTGCGTCCCAGCAGCCCACCTGGGGAGAGGACAGACTGGACTGAGTGGCAGTTCGGGCTCCGAGATGTGCCAGTGCCACTGTGACATGACACCGGGTGTCCTGGTCCTGCTCTCACACTGTCAGGGCCACCCCCAGTCCTGACTCTCCTGAGTGAAGCTCCTTCTGGGAAGCACTGGGCACTTGCAGCCCCTGGTGATTTGGGACGAGGCGGTCCTGGTGGAGAGGGAGTGGGCCTGGGAGGTCTCCTGGAAAAGCTGGGGGTGTGTGGGAAGAGTTAGGGCTGTAAAGACTTCCTTGGCTCACACATATGAGGCCCACCGCCCCAGGTCTGACCACTGCCAGGAGTAATTCCTGAGTGCAGAGCCAGGAGTAACCCCGGAGCATCACCAGGTGTGCCCCCCCCCCCCGCCCCCGCGCTTCAAAATAAATAGCCAGACAAAGAGAGGAAAGAAGGAAAGAAAGACCTAGAATTCCTAACTCAGGGCTGGAGCGATAGCACAGCAGATAGGGCTTTTGCCTTGCACCAGGACACCCGGTGTCATGTCACAGGCCACAACACAGTGCTGAGTTCACCCGGCTAACAGAGGAGGCGGGCGGGTCAAAGGAAGAGCACCAAGACGCCTGGCTTGAGTACATGTGGGCATCCGCCCGGGCTCCGGAGCTCGGGAGGCAAAACTGCAGGCTGGGAGTGGGCAGTGGGCAGGATGGTGCTGGAGGTGGGTTTGCTCCCTCCCAGGCTCGAGGCAAGGAAGAGGCGGGATGGGACCTATGAGAGGAATGCTTGGAATTTGGAGAAAGGCTGGGAAGCGTCGCGGGCAGAAAGGGTTGGCAGGCTCTGGATGTGGGGGGCCGAGACCCGAAAGGCTGCTGTGCCCACAGTGTGGACAGGAGAACTGGCGGGCTTCCCTGTCCCCCACGGGGTGTGAGCAGGAATATGAGTTGCAGCACAGATGCTGGTTGATGCGTGATGGGAGCAGAAGCAAAGGCCTTTCGGAGAAACCCTGGCAGGCGGGGAGGTGGCTCACAGGGCTGCCTCCCACTGTGTGCTGGGGCCTCGGGCTTGATCCCCAGAGCTGCAGTGTTCCCCCCCCCCACTCCCAAGCACCATGTGAGCAGCCCCCCCCCCCCCATACCTCCTCACTGGCCCCGAATAAAAGAAATGATGGTTTGTTGACGGGTGGGAAGAGTGTGTCTGAGGGAGCAAGCTCAGGGTTGGCAGAGCTTGGGCCGTTGGGCCGTTGAAGGCCGTTGGGCCGAAGGTGGGAGAGGAACTCTAGAAGACATCCCCAATCACTCGAGTCTGCCTTGCTCAGGGAAAGTAGCAAGAGAGTCAAAAATCTCTGGCTTTATAGAGAGGAAATATAACTGTGGTCCCTCTGCCTACTCAATTTTGTCTCAGAGTGAGAAATTCTGGTTTTTTTTTTTTTTGGCTTGTTGGGTCACCCCCGGTGATGCACAGGGGTTACACCTGGCTTTGAACTCAGGAATTACTCCTGGCAGTGCTCAGGGGACCATATGGGATGCTGGGAATCGAACCCAGGTTGGCCACGTGCAAAGCAAACACCCTACCCGCTGTGTTATTGCTCCAGCCCCGAGTTAGGAATTCTAGGTTTTTCTTTCTTCTTTCCTCTCTTTGTCTGGTTATTTATTTATTTATGTATTTTGAAGTGGGGGGGGAGCATACCTGGTGATGCCCAGGGGGTACTACTGGCTCTGCACTCAGGAATTATTCCTGGTAGTGGTCAGGGGACCATCTGGGAAGCTGGAGGTCAAACCCAGGTCAGCTGCAAGCAAGGCAGATGCTGTACCTGCTGTCCTATCATTCTGCGTTTCCCCCCCAACCCTATTTTTGGGTTATACCCAGCAGTGCCCAGGGCTCACTCCTGGTTCTGCACCCAGGAACCACTGCTGGCAGGCTCAGGGGATCACATGTGGAGCCAAGGATCAAGCCCGGGTCAGTTGCGTGTCTGCTTGTTGCAAGGCAGTCTCCCTGTCTGGTGCTCTCTCTCCAGCCCCTCTCCTGGGCTTTCTTAGCCATCCCCTAAGCCATCAGAGTTCATTGACTTTTCTCTTCCCACCTCTGCCTCTTTTGTGGCACGTCACATGGGTTTTCCTGCGCCCTTCCCCTTGCCCAGAGCCAGCTCAGGTCCTCTGCTCATTCTCTCCAAACTGGGTTCAGAGTCCCTCGGGGTCCCCTGACTTGCAGACTGAGGGATGAACTGCTCCCTTCAACTTAGAGCCCTTCTGGTACCGTGTCCCATGGGCACGTTAAGCTCTTGCTACTGTGCAGAGTCTGCTCCCGGGTTAGGACCCGCCAGTGCCCTTCCCTCTCTGCCTGGAGGGCTCCAACCCTGTCATGCCTTGCAAGGCCCCAGCCTCCTCTCCAAGGCGGCCAACTTGGTTCCCCTCTTCCGTGCGTCTTGGAACCCCGAGGTTTCTGTCACCCTTGAGGAACAGACTCACCCTGAGAGGACACGCCTCACTGTCACTCGCTGTCTCCCTGCTGTGACCCTGGTGCTTGGAGCCCAGCCCAGGCCCCGGGGACTGCTCAGGCCAGAAATGGTGGAAGAGTGGCTCCTGGGTGTGGCAGGTTCCGAGGGAAAGGATGATGCACCTGACATGGGCGGTGGCATATGGTGTACTCCTGGGGTGCACCCTCTAGAGGCAGTGCAGGAAGCTCTGAGCTGAAAGATTTGTGGAAGTGTGGTTGTTTCTGGAGGGGGGTTGGGGTGAGGTATTTTTGCGGAGGGTGGAGGTGTCACACCTGGCAATGCTCAGGGGTTACTCCTGGCCCTGCACTCAGGAGTTACTCCTAGCAGTGCTTGGGGGACCATATGGGATGCCAAGGATCAAACCTGGATCAGCCCCATCCCTCCCCACTGGACTGTTCTATCCCGGGGGTGGGGAGGTCTTGGTGAGGGGGCAAGTAAAAAAGTAGAGGCACTCCAGTAGGTGGAGGGAGTTGCCAAGGAGAACTTGGGCACCCCTGGGAGAAGCTGGGGTGGCTGGAGAGTCAGCCCAGAAGATCCTGCTTGGGCCCAGTGGTCAGCCCTAATCCAAACCCATTTCTGCCCCCTTCTAGGTTTACCAAGATCCAGAACACCAAGTTGACCATGAAGCAGGACGGCATCGCGTCCGTGCGGTACCGGGTCCTGGAGGTGTCGCGGCAGCCGCTCTTCACCAACATCACGGTGGACATTGGGCGGCCCCCGTCTAGGCCTCCCTGGGGCTGACCGGATGGACAAAGGCTCCTGTTGCCAAGGACTACCCGCCAGAGGCCTGCCCTGAGGCCCGGCGGTGCCTGCCGTGGGGGCCCCAGGACTCAGACTGTGGTCTCTGTTTTCCAAGGATCTTCAGTAGGTTGCCTCACTGCAGCTGGAAGTTTCCGAACCTACTTTGGGGGGCTTCCATCCGGGGCAGGCCCCTCAAGTGTGGCCCTCTGGGGTGGACCATCCTCCGTGCCCCTCCGTTCCCAGCCCAGCCTCCCTCACTGTCAGGCTTGGGCCAGCCCCTGCACTGCCTCGCCGAGTGGCCAGGCCAGGTCGCTCCACCTCTCTGTGCCTCAGTTCCCCCTATTCCTCCTGAGTCCCCTAGGGCCTGGACGTATGACCAGGGGCAGTGTCTCTCTTCTAGGGGGGGATTCTCAGATCTGGGGGGGGCTCCCCGTGCTCCTAGGGGAGGGGAAACCTTTTCCATTCAACATTGTAGGGGCAAACTGATGGGCCCCTACTGCTGAGGAGCAGCCCCAGGGGGGGCCCAGATGGGGTGCTGAGTCACTTCCTGGGATCTTGGGGTTGGGCATTGCATGGGAGGCAGGCGGGGTGCCGGTGGGTCAGTCTGGGGATTGGTCAGTCTGGTTCCGCCTCCCGGCTCCAAGAAGGCAGTAGCCCCAGGGCCCAGCTTGTGTTTGTACATTGCACAGAAACTTGTGTGGGTGCTTTAGTAAAAAACGTGAATGGAGCTGGCCTTCTGATCTGGGGCTGGAGACCTGCATCCCTGGACCAGTGCGGGGGTGGGGGGGGGGGCGATTTGCTCAGGAAGAGCTTGGTGGGTGGGTCACCCAGGCCCTAGCTCGCGGTCCGGGGAGGCAGGGAGGCCGTAAGCCCTGGGGACTCCCGGGCCGCGCTCCAGGTGCGGAGGGCCGGGCCGGGCCGGGCCGGGATGGTTCGGATTCCGCGCGAGCCGGCCGGGCGGCGGCCGGGTGCAGGGGCGGGGCCTGGCGGCGGCGGCGGCGGCGTTACCCGGGCAACGGCGCGTGCGCGCGGCGGGACGGGCCCTGGTTCCCGCCGCCGCTCGGCTTCCCCCGAGCCCCCTGCGTCTGCGGGAGCCCAAGTGGCAGCGCCCCGAGCCTCGGAGCCGGGGGGGTCGCTGTCGGGAGGTGCCGGGGCTGCGGCCCGTAGGCGGGGCGCGGTCTCCGGGGGGTGGGGGCGGTTCCAGCGCGGCGACCCCCCCCCCGGCCCGCAGGTCCGGGCGATGCCCCCGGACCCCCCATCTCTATGGGACCTGGTGAAGGAGCAGGTGCCGCCCCCCGAGCGGCCCGAAGTGAAGCGGATTCTGGGGCAGACCACGGTGGAACTGAGTCTGGAGCTGCGGGCAGAGGTGGGGAGCTGAGCCGCGCCCACCCCGAGCGTCTCTCACGGCCCGCCTGACGGTCCCCGGGTTCCCGAGCCTGCCCAGTAACTCGGGGGGCTTTGGGTGGCCTTTTTTTACTGTGCTCCCGCCCCCGCGCCCTGTCGCGAGGTGTCCCAGTTCTTGCAGGTGATGCTGCTGCGCTCCCTGCTCCATGAGGCCCGATCCTCCCCGGGCCCTGGCCGCCGCCCCTCCGCTGACCCTACCTCCCTCCTGGCACCGTCACCCCTGCTAAGGGACCTCCTGCGCCAGGAGCTCCGGCAGCTGCTCCAGGCTCTCCGGCAGAAGGCCATCCGCGAGGGCAGGTGGGCGCCCCGGGCGGCAGCAGTCCAGGGGGCTGCACCTGATCAGGGAGGGGGGCGAGGGCAGTGCCCACTGCGATTCCCAGAGGAGCGCCTGAGTCCCTGCCCGGCCCTGCCACAGGGAGCAGACCCAGGCGTGGGTCCAGTACAGCCCCCGGGTCCTGCACTTTGCCTTGGAGGAGCCCAAGTGTGACCCGCCAGAGCAAGAGCCCTTCCCGATGAGAGCTGGGGAAGCCAGGTAACCCACAGGAGAGAAGGGGAGGAGGGTCTGCTCCCGACTGCAGGTCGGTCCGCCTCGACTACGTAAAGGAGTTCCCTGTCTAGAGGCTTCTTGTGTGGGGATCTGCCTCTGAGGACTGCAGAAGCCCAGGTGGCAGCTCCCTGACTTGGGGGACAGGTGAGGTGTCTGAAGAAAATGGCTTGAGCTGCATCGGAGTAGGAGAAAGGGATTCCTTGTAGATGCAAGAGTTTTGCAGAAAGAGGGAGTGACAGGTGCCAATAAGGATGGGGCAGAAGGCCATGGGTTCTTGTGCCTGGAGAACAGGAGGAAGGATGGGGCTAGGAAGCAGGGAGGGCACTTCTGCAGAGGCTGGGGAGCAAAGCCAGTTCCTCAGTGGATGGCAGCGGCTTCTAAGGACCCTCGGGGGTGGGCCTTGCCCCACGGCTGCGGAAGCATTGTTGCTTGGTTGCAGGGATGCAGGGCTGAGGTCACGCTCAGCGGCATCCAAACAAGACTATGGAACTCTGTGAGTTCGTGGCTTTTCCTGGAAAGGGCATAGACCTGTCTCAGAGAAGTGGAACTCGTGTTCTGATGGCCTGGGGTGCAGGGGCTACGGGGAGAATGATGTCCACTCCATCTGCTAGCAGCCAGCCCAAGGACCTCAGTGTCATCAGGGACCAGCTGAATGTGTACAGCATTGACCAGGTGGCCCAACACCTGCGGTGAGCCCCCTGAGGGTGCAGTGACGGGGTAGCCAACCAGGGGAGCCCTGGAGTTGCCCCAGAATGCAAAAAAGAGACAAGGGGACCTGGGACACTGGGAGAGGAGCAGGGCGCCTGGGGAGAGCCTGTGGGTACCACTAAGAGCTGGAAAGGGCAGGGGGTGCCCATGTCAGGTGCACCCTTGGGGGGGCACCCCGGCAGCAGAGGGCATGGTAAGCTGAGCAGCGAGATCACTGGGGGTGAAGCTGGAAGTTGGGCTGTGTGGGGGTGAGGGAGGGGTGCTCAGCTCAGCTGAGACTGTCCTGGGGTGCTGGTTCTGCATGCCCTCGTGTCCCAGGGGCCTCCTGAAGGACGAGTGTCGCAGCTTGGAGAGGGAGATCCACCGCCTGCAGGTGAGCGCAGCCCTGCCCCCACCTGGTGTGAGAGCCACCTCCCCAGTTTGTGTATGTGGCGGGTGTGGGCTGTGTGCCTCTCGGGCTATTTCTCTTCTGTGCACACCTCATGTCTGTGAAACCCAGAGGCCCAAGGCTCTGGTGCAGCCCCTCCGTCCACAGGAACTTGCTGGTTGTGGCCCAGCTTCTGCTTCCTTCTCTAGGCTTGGGCCAAGGCCGGCCACCACCTTGCCAAACTTGCTGAGCTTCTTGGGGCGGTGGTGGGGGTTGGTATTCCCCTGGGCAGGGGCAGCACGGGAAGGGCCCCCTTGTCCTGGGAACCGGTCCCAGCCTCCTGCCCCCAGCCCAGGCTGGGGTGGGCCAGGTTGATGAGTGAGCCAGCCAGTTCTCCCCGCAGCAATGCCTGGAAGAGCAGTACGAGGGGCCACCCCAGCCCTCGGAGGACACCCCGGACCTCACCTTGGCAGGTGAGGAGGCCTTGCAGGCTCTAAGCACCCCACCCCACGCTGGCACAGCCCCTAGTGAAGCTGGGGGCTCTCTGCTCTGCCTCCCTCCAGAGCTGAAGGAGCAGAAGGCAGCTATGCTGCGGGAACTGAAGGCAGCCCCCACGCCCTCCGGTGTCCCCCACAGCCCCTGGTAAAGCAGTTCTTGGGGATGGGGGGAGGTGCACCGGGCTGGCTGAGGGGCGGCTCCCTCATGGCCACTCCTTTCTGTGCAGGCAGCAGCCCTTTGGGTCCAGACAGGCCTTTCTGCCAGTGCCTTGCCCCCAGGGCACCACTGGAGTCTGGCCTCAGGCGCTGCAGTGCTGTCTGCCTGCTCCTCCTCGTGACAGGCGTCCCCACCCCCAAGGTCTGGCCTCCACCTGCCGCTGGGGCCGGAAGCTTCAGTATAACCCCAGGACCAGGCCAGCACTGCCAGCATTGTCCAGTGGACCACCCCGGGCCCCCTCTTGAAGTGTTGGCCACTGACCAGGGGTCCGCTCCTGCTGGAACCCGCCCCCACCCCGGCGCTGGCCGCATCTCAGCTTCATTTTCCACTGCAGTGGGTGGGTCGGTGATCACAACCAGGAACCCCCGGGCGTTTGGTCCGTGTCCTCCCCGCCCCCCCCCACCCACCCTACCCCCTCTTTCCAGGCTTCTGGCCCAACCTTCCAAGACTTCATCTTCCTTGTCCTTGCCCTCCACCCAGCCCTGCCTTTAGGGGTCTCCTCCCGCCCACACTCCTCTCCTGGGGGCGCCCAGACGAAGCACCACAGTGGCTCAGAGTCAGGAATAGAAATTTCATTAAAATCTATGGACTTTTCAAATCCTAGTGGTGCACAGTGGGCAGGGCTGGGCAGTGCACCGTTATTGCTACGGAGGGTTAGAGACACTGGTCAGGCTGTCACTGCACAGTGGGGCATAGGGGATGGACAAACGGACATCGCAGGGCTGGGGTGAGGGGCGGGCGGGCTGGGGCCATTTGGCACGTGAATGGGGCAGCCCAGTCGGGGAAGTCTGGCCGTGGGCCTGGTGGACAGGGGATGGACAGGGGGTGGTGTCGAGGCCCCTTCCCCAGGGCTCTGAGCAGCACCCTGGACCAGACCCCTCCCCGAAACTGGCGCTTGGGGCAGGTCACTGGGTCCCGGGGCCTCTGCTGGCTGGGCCTGACATGGGGCACAAGTGAGGGGCAGGGACCCCCGGGCCACAGAGTAAGGTGCAGGCGGGCCTGGAAGACAGGTTGGGCCCCAGGCTGGGGGCTGGGGAGTGGCAACGACAGATAATACGACTTGGACAAAAAGAATCACACAGACAGACAGGGCCGGCAGGCCGCACAGCCTGACAGGTAACACTGCAGCCACCCAGCGCCCCCGGGTCCAGGGGGACAGTGTGGACTGGCCTGGGCAGAGGCCGGGGTGTGCTCTAAGGACAGCAACACTGGTCAGGGGGCTGGAGGCCCGAGGAGAAGTACAGGCGGAGGGAGGGCCGCCCAGACCTCAGCTCAGGCTAGAGTGGGGGCGTCAGAGGCCATGTCAAGCCCCTCAGCCCTTGGGAACCTGGCTAGAATCCCCTCCAAAGTGCTTTGGGCCCCTAGCCACCCTCCCACCCCTTCCCTGTACCCCCCCAACTGCCATCTTGGCACCCAAAGGACCTGTAAACACTGGGGACGCGAACCCGACTGGCCGCCCCAGCAATGGTGGCCGAGAGGCGGCAGCATCCTGCCTGTCCACTGCCGCCCCAGTCTCTGTGGGAGCACGGGGTGGGGGCGAGGTGCTCCCCACGGCGGTGCTCAGGCGGCAGGGCTCATATCCGGGAGTCCTGCAGGCGGCCGGAGCCATGGCTGCCCACGACCGGGATCTGGGCCTTATCCGGGTGCAACGGCTGCACCTCGAGCCCGTCGTCGGGGGAGGGTGGCATGGCGGGGGCATAGCGCCCCGTCCGGTGCTCCAGGAGCGCAGGCCCCCACTCTCGGCTCGGCCTCGTGGCATTTTTCAAACGCTGCAGGAATGAGGGGTGGGCAGGGCACATCAGCGGGGAGCCCCTTAGCTTCAGCCACCACGCCCTCCTACCCTTCCACCCCCCACCCCCCACCCCTGCCCCTGCCCTCACCTGCAGGAGGGTGTCCCCATCTGTGCGGCAGAGCTGGAACAGGGCGTAGAGGGGGATGCAGATCACCGAGGACAGAGCCATGAGGAAGCCGATGGCCACTGCCCAGCCTGGGTACTGGTAGTGGTTGTAGGTGATTGGCCGGTACTGGATCACGGTGAAGATGAGGATGAACTGGGGGAGGGGGGAGCAGAGGGGTAGGTGAGGGGAAGCCTGACCAGCCGCTCCCACTTCCACGCCCAGGCCTCAGGTCATTCCTCCCAGCTGGACCTCCTCCCTCCCTCTCCAATGCTCCCAGCAGTAGTTGAGGTTGGAGGGGCAGCAGGGGGAACGAGCTTGCAGGGCATGGTGGAAGGTGGCGGCCTGTCTGCTCTGACCCCCAAGTACAGCTGCTGGGAACTGTTCCGCGGTGGTCACTTTGTGACGTCAGTCAGTTCTGCACCAAGACTTGCGAAACGTGGAAGTAAGGCTGAGGCTTCCACCACCAGACCCAGGCTCCCGCAGCTCACCGTTCTGACAAGGGTGTCTCAGCTACGCCCAGTACTGCCCACCCACTTCATTTATTTCGGAGACTCCCCTCCTTCCCCTGTCAAGCTCTGCACAAATGCCACCACCTACAAGAAGCCTCTGCGGATTGCTCACCACCTCCCCAAAGGCCCTCTCCAGGGTTTCTCCCTTGGGTCTGTGTGCTGCACAAGCCAGGAGGGCAAGGAACCACCCTGGAGACCTCAGCTGCATCCTTGAGCCCAGGCTCCCCCCAGCCTGCCTGCGGACCCTTCTGCAGGGCAAGACCCACATCTGAGACCCTGTGACGAATGGGGAACTTATCATGAGCTCCCTAGACAGACTCGGGGCCTGCTCCCAGCTCAGACAGACCCTTTCTAGAGCTGGCAGAAGAAGGCTTTGTCAAGAGAGCTTTTTGGAAACAGAAACATGTACAAAAATATATAATAAAGTGCATATGATACAGATACAGAAGGAAAGGGCTGTGAAGATGTTCATGTCCTTTTTCCCTGTTTGTTTTTCTGCTATACCAGGGCTCAGGGCTTACTCCTGACTCTGTGCTCATGGATCACTCCTGGTGGGGCTCAGGGGACCATATCACGCCAGTTCTCACATGTCTTGCCTGCAGGAAGCCCGGGTTCAATCCCCAGCCCTTCATGGTTCCCCCAGTACCATCAGGAGGGACTCCTGAGCACTGAGCTGGAGTAGACCCTGGACATCGATGAGGCTGACTCAAAAAAAAAAGGGGGAAAAAAAGAGAAAACTGCAAAAGCAAGTAATGGCCACCCAGGAAGCAGCATCCACAGGGCCTGGAGCCCTAGCCCTGGTCCTCTTCAGCCTGGCATTCGGGCACACAGTGGGCCGAGGCAGTCTCCTCTTTTTTTTTTTCTTTTTGGGTCACACCTGGTGATGCACAGGGGTTCCTCCTGGCTCTGCACTCAGGAATTACTCCTGGCAGTGCTCAGGGAACCATATGGGATGCTGGGAATCGAACCTGGGTCGGCCACATGCAAGGCAAACGCCCTACCCGCTGTGCTATCTCTCCAGCCCCTCTCCTGCTCTTTATGGGACACTTGCACTCCTCTAACTCCAAGGCCAGGACAGTGGTCAGCTCGGTGGCCATGCCAGGCTCGGGAAGATCCCACCCCCCCATGTGGTGGAAGCCAAAGCCCTCAGGGGCCTCTTTCCAAGATGAGTCAAGTGGAAATTTGGGGTTAACTCGTGCCCCAGGAGCCAGCTGGGAAGGACTGGACTCGGGGTGGCGCTGCAGCTGGGTGCGGCCCTCTGCCCCTCCAAGGTGGCTCTGGGCCTGCTCCGGGGGGTGGGCACACCTCCAGCACCACCACCCTGCACCCCTACACTGAGAGCAGACAAGCGAAGCCAGAGGGCCCGCACCTGTGGCCACTTCCCGAGAGCCGTATCGCAGCCAGTCCTGGCACACACGGTGGTGGGCTCTGTTGCTGACCTAATGCATCTGAGCCTCAGTATTCCCCTCTGGAAACTGGGAGTGACTGCCTCTGGTCCTAATCATGGGGAGTGTGGTTCCTAGTCATGGGGGGTACCCCCAGCTCAGCACCCTGAGGTCCACCCCCACTGTTACGTGCTGGTGGGCACCAGGAGGATCGCTCCAGGTCTGAGGCTTCTGAAGCGGTGCCTGCTCCCGACCTAAACCCCGCTGTGTACAGCCCCGCCAGCCACCCCCATGGCACCGCGGCCTGGACTGGCCAGAGACAGCACAGTGCCACTGATGAGTCCTCAGACCCTTCTGGGGAGGCCAGGCAGGCAGAGGTCCCCGCAACCTCCCTGCAGGCCAGAACGGGGTGTGGGGGAAGGGGCCTTGGGAGCTCTGGTCACAAGGCGGGAGGTCCCGACAGGATCCGCAGTATGGGGTGGGCGTGTGTGAAGCAACCAGGGATGGGGCCTGCCTAGGAACTCACGAAGATGATGGCTGGGGAGACGAAGCGCCAGCAGATCTGGAAGAAGAGGGGCGGTGGGAAGCCCAGCATCATCTGGATGTCCTGGAAGTAGTTGCGGTGCCCTGGAGAGAGGACGTTCAGCGGGAGCCGAGCAAGCAGGGACCAGGCTTTAGAGTGGGGCGGGGCTTCAGGGAAGGGGTGGAGCTCCAGGGCAGGGGCGGGGCTTCAGGAAAGGGTGGGGCTTCGGGACAGGGCGGGGCTTCAGGGAAGGGGTGGAGCTCCAGGGCAGGGGCAGGGTTTCAGGAAAGGGTGGGGCTTCAGGACAGGGTGGGGCTTTGGGAAGGGGTGGAGCTTCAGGAAAGGGTGGGGCTTCAGGGAAGGGGTGGAGCTCCAAGGCAGGGGTGGGGCTTCAGGGCAGGGCGGGGCTTCAGGAAAGGGGTGGGGCTTCAGGAAAGGGTGGAGCTTCAGGGCAGGGGCGGGGCTTCAGGAAAGGGTGGAGCTTCAGGGCAGGGTGGGGCTTCAGGGAAGGGGTGGAGCTCCAGGGCAGGGGCGGGGCTCCAGGAAGGGGTGGGGCTCCAGGAAGGGGTGGAGCTCCAGGGCAGGGGCGGGGCCTCAGGGCAGGGTGGGGCTTCAGGAAAGGGTGGGGCTTCAGGAAGGGGTGGAGCTCCAAGGCAGGGGCGGGGCTTCAGGAAGGGGTGGGGCTTCTGGGAGGGGTGGAACTTCAGAACGGGGGTGGGGGGATCGAGGCCGGGCAGGGCACTCACCATAGATGTACATGATGGACACACACATGATGCACGAGATGACCACTAGGGAGAAGCTGGCAGCATAGTTATCCATCAGCAGCAGCCAGTAGATACCTGCCTATGGGTCAGCGGTCAGCTGAGTTAGGGCCCCCAGCGCTAGGTGAGGCTCCCTCACCCCCCACCCCTCCCCCCGCAACCTTTCCCGAGGCGCTTACCTGGCTGGTGAGGGGGATGCCCAGCAGGAAGCCGGCCACCGCTACCCCCAGGGTCACATAGGTCTTCTTCTGCAGGATCCACTCATTCCCCACCTCGTCCACGATGGCCGTGACCAGGGTCTCCAGGAGGCAGAACTGTGGGGGGTGGGGGCAGCCATCAAGAGCCCAGCCCGGCCGCCTCCCGCCCGGGTCAGGGCCCCCCGCCCAGACCTCCTACCTGAGTGCCCAGCCCCAGCAGGATGAGCATGAAGAAGAAGAGCAGCGACCAGACCGGGGAGATGGGCAGCAGGGTGAGGGCCTCGGGGTAAGCCACGAAGGCCAGGCCAGGGCCGTGGTCTGCCACCCGGGACACGTCCACACCCAGGTGCTTGGCCATGAAGCCGAGGATGGAGAAGATGACGAAGCCAGCATAGACGCTGGTGGCACAGTTAGTGATACTGATGATGACACTGTCCCTAACCGGCCGGAGAGAGAGGCAGAGGTCAGGGCGCACACCTGCCCGCCTCAGCTCCACCTGCTTCACCTGTTTGGACTGGGCTCCCACCCAGCGGGCCTGAGGGTCATTCCCGGCGGTGCTCAGGGGAGCACGCAGAGCTGGGGGCCGACCCCGGGGCTGAGCTCAGTGCTCTGAGCCCTCTCTCCCCGCTCGGCCGGAGCCCAGCGCAGACGGGCAGGTGTGCCAGCAGCACAGGTGCCCCGACCCCTTTCCGGACACGCTGGCCTAGGGAAGGGAGCCCCAGGCTCCCAAGTCCTCACTGTCTAGGACCACATCCAGGGCCAGGACTTCCAGGCTGCGCGTCCTGGGGGATCCCCCGTGGGCCTGGGGGTGGACAGGAGCCGGGCAGCCGAGCTGCGGGGTGGGGTGGGGTGGGGGGCCGGAGGGACCCACCTGTAGCAGTTGTTGTGGAATTTGTTGTAGGAGGCCATGGTGATGAGGCCGCCCCAGGCGCAGCCCAGCGAGTAGAAGATCTGGGAGGCGGCGTCGCCCCACACCTGGCGGGGGTGGGGGGAACACAGTGAGGGGCGGGGCCAGAACAGCCGCCCCCTCCCCACCCCGTCCCGCCCCTCACGGGCCTACCTTGGCCTCCAGGATCTTGTCCCACTGTGGGGTCAGGTAGTACATGATGCCCGTGAAGGCGCCGTCCAGGCTCACGCCGCGGATGAACAGGATGGTGAGCACCACGTAGGGGAAGGTGGCTGTGAAGTACACCACCTGGGGGACGGAGGGGGAAGAGGCCAGTGGCCACCTGAGCCTCTGGCCCCCAGGAGGATAGCTCTGGGTGGGCACAGACCCTGCTGAGGGAGGCATCCTTACTTTCCCCGAAGACTTGACTCCTCGGATGAGGCAGAGGAAGACGACCACCCAGGAGACCCCCAGACAGCCGAGCAGGGGCAGCCGCACCTCCCCGAAGTTCCCAATGTCGTCGGACAGCTTCAGCACGTAGAGCCTGCGCGGGAAGGGGAGTCTGCCTTGGGAGCCGCCCCGCTGGCCCAAGGAGGCAACGCCTTCTTTCTCAGGGGGTCTCAACCCCGTTCCCAGCCCCGACTCAAGTAGGTGGGGTCCACTGTGGGTCCCCCCTGTGCCTCAGAAGTCCACTGCTTGCGGCCCTGCCTCTCCCAGGACTTTGAAGGGCACCTGAAGGTCACACCTCTCAGAGGAAGAGGTCTCCCCACCCCTGCTCAGGCACTCCAGGTCTTGCTGGTGCATTTCTCCCTCTGGGAAGCCCTTGCCTCCAGACTGGACACAGCCTATCCCGTGTCACCTCCTCCAGGAAGCCTTCCATAAGCTTTTCACCACACTAGTTCCATCCCCAAGGAACCCAGGGAGGCAGTGGGGTGCTTTGGAAAGACAGATCTCACCCTGAATTCCTCCTGCACTCCCTCCTTCTACCTGCACGTGCTTCCAGCAATGTTTTTACAAGCAACTGGACATTTGTGTACCAGGTGCTGGATGGGCAGACCTGGGTCGGGTACTGCAGGCACTGCCAGGCAGGACAGCACTGCCCAGGAGGCGTCCCGGAGAGAAGTACAGCCGAGGCTGGAGGGCGGAGAAGGGGTGGGTGGCCCACGGAGATGGTGGGCAGCAGGCCCGCTGGCCTGCCTGGCATGTGGGCAGCTAGGAGGGCAGGCAGAGGGGGCAGAGAAGGACCGGGGACAGAGGGGAACAGCACGAGAAATGACAGCTGGTGGCGGGCCCTTGGCCGTTGACCTGGAGGGTTCTTTTTTGGTTTTGATTTGTGAGCCACACCAGCAGATGCTCAGGGGTAAGTTTCTCCTGGCTTTGCTCTCAGGAATCCTGGTGGCATTCGGGGAACCATATGGGGTGTCCGGGATTAAATCCGGGATGGTTGTGTTCAAGGCAAGTGTCCAATATGGTGTATGGTCTCCCCAGCCCTCACCCTGAGGGTTCTTTTGGTAAATTTTTGGGGGACTAGACCACAGCAGTGCTCAGGGGTGACTGCTGACTCAGCTAGGGGTTTGCTCCAGTCCTCCTCGAGAGAGAATGGCACCTGGTCTCCCATATGAGCTCAGCCCTGGGGGGTTCTTACAGCTGGCACTGAGGCCTCCCAACCTCTCCTCCACTTACCAAGAAAGTCTAGAAGGCCCCATGGGGATTCACGGCCTCCCACTCCGTCTCTCACCTGCCCTCTCCTCCGCCTCTGCCCCTTGCTCACCCTTCCTGCTGCCCTGAGTTGCCTGTGATTCTTAACACAGGCCAGAAGCCCCTTTCAGTGCACATGATCTCTAAACTGCTTTACAGGCGTCATAGTCCTGGTGGGGCTTGGAGGACCCTGCGCGGTGCCAGGGACTGAACCAGGGTCAGCCATGTGCAGGGCAGGGCCTTAACCCCAAACTATCTCTCAGGCCCAATCTTCTTTAACTTTATGTCTAAATCTGTGTGTCAGAGGCGGGTGTCTTCACTGGATTTCCCCTGGGAGGCCACAGCACAGGGACATCAGGGCCGAGTACAGAAGGCCAGCCTTGACGCCCAATGACGAACTTACTCCTTCTTTTTCATGATGTCATATTTACTCTGTTTTTGTTTTGTTTTGGTTTGGTTTTGAACCATGTGTGTGCATTTGAGATCAAAGAACTTTTGGAACCCAACGTATTCACAGGCTTGATTGTTGATGCATAACTTCTCTGGAATTTTTCTGTATTATGTTTTAGTTTCACCAACTAGAAGGTAAACACACCAGGAACAGGACGCCCTAATCTGCCCGCATCAGTGGCAGTGGACACCAAAACTGCGGCGCCAGAGCCCTGCGGATTTATGCCATGTTATCTCGTTCCATCTCTGTAACAAGGAGTGGCTTCCCCCACCCCCACCCCCCCACCCCCGCCTCCTAATGGGCCTGAGAGAGGGTCAGCGCTCAGTGGCAGCACAGCCAGGAGGTGAGTGAAGTCTGAGTGACACACGGCACTGCCATGAGGACTCTGGGAGAGGGGCACTGGGTATTAGGCGGGGTGCTGGGTGCCCCCAGTGGCGGAGGAGGTGAAGGGACACAGCCCCAGGCCCCTGACAGGGATGAGCAACACAGAGAGGCTGTAAAAACAGAACTGCCAGGGGGTGTTGGAGTTGGCATGTGGGTCCACAGGGGTGGGGAGCAGGTGTAGGCTGGCCAGCTGCTGTCGAGTCCCCTCACAGAGAAATCACTCCATCTGACGTTGGACTTCTTCCCTCCTTTGTGAAATGCAAGCTGTCTCTTCTAAAGCTGCCTAACAGGGCTGCAGCAGGCTCAGATGAAACCATGAAGCTTCCCAAAGGGGCCACAGTAAAGGTGGAGCAAGGACACCCCGACTCCCAGGGGCCTCGTTCACACTGGGAACAGCAGGGACGCTGGATGGCCACGGGTCATCCTGACGCAGCATTTCCGCCTCGTTTCTGAACTCAGAAACTCAGGTTCCGAATCAGAAGATGAGGGAGATGCTTATAGCAGACAATATGCCTGGCTCAGTCGGTGTCCAGAGAAAAAAAGGCGCCGGCATCGTCCTTTCCCTTCCTTCTCCGGGTCATTCCCTACACTCCCCAGGAGGGGGCAGCAGGGAGCCATCCGCCGCATCAGGCTCTGAGCGGCACTGGGGACAGACCTGGCGTCCCCAGGGCTGAGGAGCAGGTGTGGGCACGCCCACCTGTGGCCAGGCTTCTGCTCCCTCCAACTGCAGAGGAGAAAACCAGAGTTGTGCTCTGCGGGGTTCCACCTGCTTCCATGCAAGCCCTTCCTGCGAATTGGCGTTTCTGGGTGCTTCCAACAAGGTGCACCCCTAGTAGAGACCCAGTTGCCCAATGCACCCCATGTCAACGTAAAAAAAAAATTTTTTTTGTGCTTTGTGTTTATGTTGGAGTCACACCCGGCTGTGCTCAGGGTTTACTCCTGGCTCTGCACACAGGGATTACTCCTGGCTGGGCCTGGGGGACCATATGGGGTGCCAGGGACTAAACCCAGGTTGGCTGTGTGCAAGGCAAGTGCTTTGTCCATACTCTCTCTCTGGCCCATAAATGTGGTAAAATTCTAACCGGGCCATAGTGAGCTCTGTTATTGCACCGGATAAGAACCCCTGGGGGGGGCAGTGTCTGGTGCCCACCCCCCTGCCCCGCTCCCCGCTAAGCACACAGCCTGGAACCCTGGATCCTTCACCGAGGCAGGAGCTCCGGGTGTATAGGAGAGCCCCAAGGGGAGGGTGCATACCTCTCATCGTGCAGGGGGCTAGCCCACAGGTGCTGAGTCCTGAGGCCCAGCATGGAGGCCACCCTGGGGCCATGAGCTCACACTTTCCCTCTCGCCCCTCCGGGAGGCCTTCTGGGTGCCTCCTCGGGATCCCCCTCCTTGCACACCGGCACCTGTCTCCGTCCTGAGCTGAAGGCTCTGGGTCTTGGCAGCACAGACGGAATGTGCCAGCAGGACTGCTTCCAGAACGTGGCCAGGCCCGAGCTCACTCATGGGAGATCAGGTGGAACGGGAAGAGCTGAGGTTCTTTTTTTTTTTTTTTTTTTGCTTTTTGGGTCACACTCGGCAATGCTCAGGGGTTACTCTGGCTCATGCACTCAGGAATTACTCCTGGCGGTGCTCAGGGGACCATATGGGATGCTGGGAATTGAACCCGGGTTGGCCGCGTGCGAGGCAAACGCCCTACCCGCTGTGCTATCGCTCCAGCCCCACTGAGGTTTTTACTTAGCACAGCTGGAGACTGAGAGCACAGGAAGCTTCCAGGTCTCCTGAGCACCGTGGCAGGAGTCTGGATCGAGTTCTGGTGCCTTCCCTGAGAAGGTCAGTGTCCGCTTTAGAGCCCTCAAGTACCTCAGTGCTTGTTCTTCCCCCTCGGTCTTGGCCCTACCTCTGGGCCCAGGGCCTGGCTCCTGCTGTCTCCAGTCCCCTCCCCGCAGCCCTGTCTGCTGTCCAGGAGGAGCAGGGACTTTGGAGGGACTCCCCATCTCAACGGCCAGCCTCCCTGGCCCTGGGGTGCGTGCTCACCTCCAGTACTCCTCACTGGGACTGGTCCTCTGCAGCGTGTGGTTGAGCAGGTGGGAGAGGTTGCCGGGCAGGGCGGGCCGGGAGCCGTTGGTGTGGTTGGAGGCGTCCAGCACGCTGGCGCAGTCGGGCGTGTTCCAGGCGTTGTTGCAGTAGGCCCAGGGCAGCACATGCGTCATGGACGAGAAGAAGTAGTAGAAGGCGATGCAGATGACCACGTTGTAGTAGATGCCGATGTAGGTGGACACCACCATCATGCCGTAGCCCACACCTGGGGGCGGCAGGGGCGGCCTCACACATCTGGCCCAAGGAGGGGAGCCTGACCCCCGCCCGAGCCCCAGGCAGACCGGAAGGGATTGGCCAAAGCCTTGCTTAGGGCCCGGGCAGGGAGCAACGGGGTCTGTATCAACACGTGGTCAGAGGGGCAGCAGGAAGGCGAGTAAACACGGGCCCCAGCGTGTGTGGCCATTGATGTGGGGCGGGGGGTCAGCACCGGGGAGCCCCAGTGGTGGTGGTGTTGGTGGTGGGGAGCTGTGTTTGCACAGATGTGAGTATCACGGAGGGGGAGGGAGGGGGGTTACGCACGCGCGCCCACCCAGGCCGCCTCACCTTTGAACATGGGGCTGATCCGCCACACGCCCAGGCAGCCCTGGCTTGCGAACTGGCCGAAGGAGAGCTCCATGAAGAAGAGTGGGATCCCGCAGAATATTAGCATGATGAAGTAGGGGAACATGAAGGCACCTGGCAGGCAGGGAGGGGTGGGCTGAGGGCCAGGCTGGGGCACCCCTGCCCTTTTCCTGCTCAGAACCCACCAGCAAGACCTCTGCGGTGGGCTGGACCCAAGGGGCGCCATGCACGGGAGCAGGAGCCTGGTCTGAGGTGTCCACCCACAGCCTGTCCCGGGTGGGACTCAGGGCTGCACCATGCCCCTTCGCACGCCTAAGTTGCTGGGGCCCTCCTGTGTCCCTGAAATACTCGGGGGTGGGGGTGGGTTGACCCACTGTGGGGCGACACAGGGGACTTCGGAGGTGGGGTGCCTCCCCCTGCTCATCCCAAAGGAAGGGGCAGCAGAAGTCGGACCCTGACGGCCACCAAGGCCGCTGTCTGTGTCTGACGCCCTGGGGCCTCAGGCTGGAGTGGGGTGCGTGGCGGGGAGGGGTGGCCCTGCCCGCTGCCCGCCGGGTACCTCCCCCGTTGCGATAGCAGAGGTACGGGAAGCGCCAGACATTGCCCAGGCCCACGGCATAGCCCACGCTCGTCAGTACAAACTCGATCTGGTTGCCCCAGTTGCCCCGTTTGAGGTTCTGGTCTCTCTTGGTGGCCTCGCTGGGCACAGCACCATTCTGTGGGGGCAAGAGAGAAGTGGCCATCAGCAAAGCATTTGCGCTCCTGTGTATGTAGGGTCACCATGGAGGTGCCCAAGCCCCCTCCCTCCCCTGGGTTCCCCTCTGCGGGTAGGGGCTACGGGCAGGCCTGGGGGAGGGGAGGGAGGTGGACTGCTGGCGGGCACCAAGGGGACCTTCTGCACCCAGGGCCAGCAGCCCACCTGCGGTGCTGCAACCAGCATCCCAGAGGTGGGGCATGTCCAGGAAGCCAGAGTCAAGAGCCCCCTGGCCCCAGCCCCTCCACAGCCTCCCCTCTCCCCTCTGGGTGAGATCTGGGAGCAGCTGAGCCTCATGCCAGGCAGCCAAGTCAGGCTGGGCACAAAGGGGCCTGTGTCCAGGCCGCCCCCCCACCCGCCGCCTACCGCATCGCCAGGCTGAGCACGGCAGCGGCCCGCGGGCAGGCAGCTGCGGGGGAGGGGAGCCGGACCCCTCCTCCAGCCTAGGGTTCCTTCCTGGGGTACAGGATGGGTAGGGAAGTAGGGAACCAAAGCAGGGCCGGTGTGGGAGGGGCCCAGGGTACCATCTCTGCTGCCCAGCCTGGACAGCCCACCTGGACTGAGGGGGCAGCCAGGAGTCAGGGAAGGACCCGAGCTGCAGGCACTGAGGAGGGCCAGCCAGAGAGGCTCACAGATGGGGCGGGACAGTCCCAGGTTTGATCCCCGGCATCCCATATGGTCCCCTGAGCACTGACTGCCCGGAGTAATTCCTGAGTGCAGGGTCAGGAGTAACCCCTGAGATTGGCAGGTGTGCCAGAAAGAGAGATTCAAAAAGAGAAGGACCCCCCGCCGAAGGTGGGGAACAGGGTCAGCTGAGGTCATAGCGGGGGCTGCCACTTGGGAACCCCTAACCTACAGTTGGCACTGACTTGACCAACTCCTTTTTTAAAAAGATATAAGTATTTTTTTGCTTTTTTTCTTTGTTGTTTTGTTTTTTTGCTTTTTGGATCACACCTGATGATGCACAGGGGTTACTCCTGGTTCTGCACTCAGGAATCACTCCTGGCGGTGCTCAGGGGACCGTACAGGATGTTGGGAATCAAACCTGGGTTGGCCGCGTGCAAGGCAAACGCCCTACCCGCTATGCTATTGCTCCAGCCCCTATTTTTTTGCTTTTTGGGTCACACCTGGCGATGCTCAGGGGTTTCTTCTGACTCTGAACTCAGGAATCACTCCTGGTGGTGCTCGGGGACCATATGGTGCTCTGGTCTCCAACTCCTATATTGGAAGGGAGTTGGGGAACACCCTATGGTGCTCAGGAGCTACTCCTGGTTCTGTGCTCAGGGATCACTCCTGGAGGGGCTCAGGGGACCATGCAGGCTGCATGTCTTCACCATGAACAGTTTCTCTGGCCCCTCTTCAACCCCTTATAAGTATCCCCCCACTTCTAGTCCTCCCAGGTGACCAAGAACTGAGTTAGTGTGAGTGCGGGGTCAGTGGGTCCCACTGAAACACAATGGCACCCTCAGAGTGGCCCTTTGAGAAACTCAGAGACGGCCTTCGGGGGGTGGGGGTTGGCTGGGGGGGGGTCTGGACAGTGTCCCAAGGGCACCCAGGGTCACCTCACAGGCTGAAGGCCACACGTGGTGACGTGAACTGGTGCAGAGGAGACAGACTCAAGGACAGTGGTGGCTCTGGCCAGGACCCAGGGTGGCCAGACTGGGGACAGAAATGTTGGGAAATCCGGGCAGGATGGGGAGATGAGCCTGGCATCTGAACCTTGGGAAAAAGCCAATGGAGAATGCAGACTCGGGGGGCGCAGCACCTCGGGAGCCCCAGCCCATGCCTCCTGGTCCCACAGGGGCCCTTTTGGGGCCCCCTAGGCTGGTGCATGGGGTGGGGCAGCATCGCATTGGCCCGCTGTGTGGAGTCACCATGCTGCACCCCCGATCCACACAGCCCCCCGTGAGACCCCCGAGAGGGGATTTGGGGAGCACCCAGAACTGCGAGGTGCCCCCTCCTCTGTTCAAGCAGCATCTGGGGCAAGTTGGCAAACCCAAGGAGTGGGGTTCATTTATGCCTGGCCATGCTGGCCTGCAGCTCACTCGCACTGTCAGGAAGAGCAGGTGGTCTGGCCGGCCCACAGGAGCAAGAAGCCCAGAGGAGACACAAGCCACCAGCAACACCGAAACTGTGTGGCCTTAAAGTCACCTGCAGGATGGCCATGAAGGGGGAGCTCCTGAGAGGATAGCGGGTAGATGGACAGGGTGAGGCCCGAGACGGTCTCCCTGGTGAAGGGTCTTGTAGGTTCCCGGTAGCCTGAGCGAGGGTGGCTCTAAGCCCGAAGGCGCCACAGTGTCACCCCCTAACCCACGTCTGGCCTGCTGGGATGGACAGGAACGCTGTGGGTCAGGGGGCACCTTCCCAAGTGCGAAGTCTGCTTTGGGAGTTTATCCATTCCCAAACAATCCCCGCCAAAAGGGCTTCTATATGTCCCAGCCACAATAGCCGTTCTATTCTGTCCGGGGCTTGTTTACTTAGGGGCACAATGGAGGATTGTGCAGCCGTGGGGAATGGGGGTGGGAGCACGCGACAGGGGTGAGAGATGCGAAAAGAGGTGACCAAGGGTCCAGGATGGCATCATGGGGCAGGCAAGGCATCTTGCAGAGAGCAAGGTCCTCAAAGCTTCAAGTTCAAGTCTCTCTCTGGCTCCCACAGTGTGAGGGCCAGAACCCCACCTCCAGGCCCCCACCAGTGCCGGAGCATCCCCCATAGGCCTCTGGGGTCTGCCCCTTCCCACCACATGCCATGCTCCGACTCTGATCGCTACTGGCACCACAGAGCAGCTCAGCCTGTGGGCGGCCATGAGGCATCCCAGCTCTGGAGCAAGCCCGGGGCTGGGCAGGAGGAGCTAGAGAGCTCCCGGCACTTGGGGAGCCGTGCTGAGAGCTTGAGGGCAGACCCGCTTTCTCAAAGGACGGGATGAGCTCCCCAATGCTCTACGCGGTGCTGGGGCTCTGCTTCCCTCCTGTCTCCAGCAGCCCTCTGGGGCTCCCCTCCACTTGCTTCCCAGGCATACATATATATCCTGGGCCGAGTGTGTGTGTGTGTGTGTGTGTGTGTGTGTTTCAGTGTTGTCGGCCACAGCGGTGTTCAGAGAACCATGAAGGACCAGGAGCCTCACTGGGCCTCCAGGAGCAAAGCAGGTGGCATGTGCTCCATGAAGCCTGCAGAGCTATCTTCTGACTAGTGCCCACTTGCCCTCTTTCCCTCCCTCCCTCCCTCCCTCCCTCCCTCCCTCCCTCCCTCCCTCCCTCCCTCCCTCCCTCTCTCTCTTGCTTCCTTCCTTTTTCATTTTTTGGGCCACACCCAGCAGCGCTCAGGAGTTACTCCTGGCTCTGCACTCAGGGATCATCTCCTGGCAGTGCTCAGTGAGCACTCAGGAACTGGCTTGGCTGTGTGCAAGGCTAGTGCTTTACCCACTGTGCATGCGGTCCCTCCATGCACCGCCCCCCCCCCCCCTTCTTTCATTTTCTTGCTCTGCTGGTTCACAGACAGGAACTCTTGGCAGAGGCCACGGGCTCTGAGAGGCCCACCGTGGGCTCCTTTTGTGAGCAAGGCCCAACTCAAGACCCCGGCAGGTCTGCCTAATGGAGCCCCGATCAGCCGCTCTGGGCTACCCCCACCCTCCCCCCACCCCCCATCACCCCTCCCTGCTTGCTCTCCATCCTTTGCAGTCCTTGGTGCTGGCCACAGTGACCTGGTGCCTCTCTGGGGTATCCACTCACCCCTGGCTCCCCGGACAGCCCCAGTCTCCCCTCAAACTCCCTCATCAGGAGCCTGGCAAAGTGGTCTCCAGGCTAGGCGCATGAAGGGGTTGGGACTGAGCCCCTGCCACGACCCCTGCCTTCCCTGGACTCCCAGTGGCCCTTTCCCCCGTGAGAAGCAGCAATGGAGTCGATAGTGCACACCCTGCTCCAGAGGACCTTCCTGGGGTTAACTCTCCCCCACACCCCTGCTGGCTGGTGCACCCCCCCCGCCCCCCAGAGCAGGCACCGTCCGTAAATCCTTTCCAGAGACCTGTGGCTTAGTCACCACTTCACAGGAACTCCCGGGACTGAGACTGTTTGGCTCTCAAGGTGCAGGCAGGACCCTGCCCGAGCTCCGGCCACCGGTTAGGTCATGGCCACTCAGCCTCCTGCTGTCTGAGACCCAGAGACAGCAGAAATCCGCAACAGAGCGAGCGGCCGGATGCACAGATCAGAACACCCTGGAGGATCTGCCATGCGAACCTCAGCCCTCCTGCTGGACCCGGGTGCCTGAAAGGAGCAGGTTCTGAGCCCCTCTTCTCCCCACCGTCTCCCCAGCTTTCCACAGTACCTCTGCAAAATGCCCTTGTGTCCCCCCGATTACAAAGCAGCAGGGACTCATCACATGCACGGGAAGGACGGCGGCATGTCCCCCCTCCCCCGGCTGCCGAGCCCACCGCAGGGCAGCCAGCCTGCAGCAGCCAAGCCCCCTTCCTCCTGTCTGACCCACATCGTCCCCATTTCCATCTGCACCCTCGCCACAACCGCCCCGCGCCCGCCTCCCGCCTGCCTTGAGCCGCGTCCCGGCTATTTTAGTGAAGCCCGAGCCCCAGCGGGCAGTGAGGCGTCCTGAGCAGCGTGGGCGGGCAGGGCCCCCTGGGACGCAGCAGCCCTGGGCTTTGCTCATGGGCTGGGGTTCCATCCAAGACAAATGTTCCGGAGGAGGCTGCGACCCACCTCCCAGACTGATCCGCATCCAGCCCCAGATGATAACAGTGACATTCTGGGAGCCCCAGAGGGGGGTTCGGAGAGACACTGCCCCAGGAGGTCCCACGTCCCCCCCCTGCCATCCCCCAGGATTGTCCTTCCCAGGTTCTCTCCCAACGGTGTGGGAGCCAGGCTGCCCAGACAAAGCTGCTGTCCTTCCACTTGTGGTGTCCAGCTGGACCTGGGGAAGAGCCGGGGCCAGCGCTGGAGGGGCAGGAGTGTGGAG